TAACTAATGTTGCGGTTTTTCAACATTGCAAGATTCACTAGAATACTTCTGGTGATGCAAGGGCAGCAAAATCAATCTTGATGAGAGCATCAGTTGTAGATGAAAATCAAAATTTAAAAACATAATGATAAAAAATTAGGGTAAAACATGAAAATCAACAATTTCAAAGCATAACAATGGCGCCATAAAAAATAATACTAGGATCGTTCCGTTGCAAATTAATTTTTCTTTTGACTTTTCTCTAGGCCTAATCTCGATAACATACTTAATAGTCATGATGTAATGTCTTTAATGATATTTTCTGACAAATTATGTGAAGTGGAAGCTGGCTAGTGATGCTGTGATGACTGAATAGCATCTTCATGGGATCATTTCCTAGTTATTTTCGAATATAGGATTAATGTAACTGGCGATTTAGAAAATTTATAAGATGGACGAGGCTAGGGTGGGATAGACTTTCTTGATTAAGGTGGTCTCTTCCCTGCATGATATCTATTTTGTCCAACCGGAGTTTCTTTTCTTAGTATGAGAAGGGTTTCCTTACCTTCTAATGTACGTCTTGATATGCAAGGTATACTACTGTAATTCTATTTCTAGTTGCCACCAGAGATCGAATAGACGTTGTAGCTCGAAAGGGCATTTTATTCTGGGCCCTCCTTTCCATTTGCTAGGAATCTATGGTTTTAAAATACTCCCATGTCCAATATCGCAGTAGCACAATTCACCAAACCAAGCGTCGCCCTTAGTACGTTCCGGGTGGAAGGAAGCGGATGCCATCTGATCGTGATAGCAGTCCCCACAATGGAGATGGATGCGTTTTCACTCCTCGAAGAAGCGAGGAAGGAGCACCACGTTCCAGCTTTGAGTGAGCATCATCCACGCCTTGACAGCAATCGTTCCTCCTTCCTCTCCTTCCCTTGTCTTTACGCCGCTCTTGTCGTGCAGTGATGACCCGCAGGCCATCGCCGGAGGTTGCAGAGAAATGCAAGAGCTACGGGGACTGCTACTATCTGCACCTCCCCACCGGAGTGCCCGAACTAATGAACTTCGTTTTCGACGCACTTAGCTGGTGGTGGAGTCGCACGACATACGCTGCAAAGGGATCTGAAGCCAGAAATCAACTATCCCAGGATGTTCAGACCGCCGTCCCTCCACCCCGGGATTGGTTCTTCGTGAGGGGGACAGAGGAGGCGTTGGACAGAGGGGGCGCCGGCCGGAGCAGCACTGAAGAAGATATGGCGCCGGAGACGAAGAAGGCGATCTCAGATGCTCTCGACAAACTTGATGCCCACTGTGAGGGACACGATGGCTATTTGTTTGTGGAACCTCATTACATCGTTGGATAAGCCTGCATCCCTATTCTTGCAGTGTCTGTGGCGAAGAAGGTTATCGGAATGAGGGGCCGGGTACCGTCCATCAGCGAGGGGAGCGGCAAGTACCAGACAAACTCCAAGTAATTGCTGGCGGTATAGCCCATGAATATTCACCTGCACTGACCCCATCTCGGAGCAGTATCCCGAGACAGACTTTGGTGGTATGCTTTGCTTCGGCTGACGTCCGTATCAGTTGTTTGGGCTTCGGTTTGTGGGTTTTCATTTTATTAGAGCGGTGACTAGTAGTAGTGATCTTGGGCCTAATGAGACTAGAAGGCGAATAAAACTTGACATTCTTATTTTCCAAATATAATATCATGAATTTCATTGGTATCTATAGATTAACGCAATTATGGGTTTTGTGGTACCAATTGATGTAACTGGCATGCGATACAATCTTGATGACTTGATAGGGTTCTTCCATTTAAATCGCTTAATTTTTTGGTGATCTATGAAGGTAATCCTTTTAAGTGTCTCACGTTGACCTTACGATTGTGGACAGATCTTTCTTTGTTGTGAGACATGTTTTACAAGCATGGTACATATCTGGTCTATGGAGTACGGTCAACTGATTTTGTTCTCCCATGTGAGCCTTGATTGTTGCCTTATTAACGCTGATCAGATACCCCACTGTAACTCAAGGCATGAACCCCCACTAACTATATATCTCTAAGCACCCAAAAATAGTTGTGGCGTGGTGTTGGCCACCCACCCTGGTGATTGGTGTCACTACATTAACTGTTCTGATGCCATGACGAAGGTAAGACCTACATTCGCAATAGTTGATGGGCACTATGTGCTGATGTCCCATTCTCCTTTCCTCTGATGTCCATCCCACGTAGTATTTCTAGCAACTGCACCCCATCACATGACGTTGCCTAATCAGGTGTGCAATTGTGTCGTAGCATGCCAATTAGCCTGTATCTACCTCATGTTACTTTTCTTGTTGTGCCGTAAAATCCTAGTTAGCTTGAAAGTTTCATGCGATACCTCTTTGAACTTTTATACGCCCTAATGGGACTCTTCACCTAAAAGGCATATGCTCTCATGGGAGCTTCCTTCCTTTTGTGCTTTCATAGATCCATGTACTCATTGGAAGGATATTGGAAACGAGCGAAAACCAAGTACTATTGAAGCAAATGTCGTCTTCCCCTCAAGAGGAGCTCCTACACCATTCAAGTAAAGATACTCACACTTACAGAAACTTTGGGCAATGTGAAAGAATCATAACCCATTCATATTGTGTTATTTGTGTAGAGTAATAACTCATTGTGCTCAAGTCAACCTAGACCCATCAATATATAAGAGATTAGTGGGGTGCTGATTTTGTTCAGTTGACCTTGATCTATAAAGTTCAAATTATAGTGGCCATCAATCTTATATTTAATACATATTTATTTTAGGTTTCTGGAAGTTCTAAAAACTAGTAAGCTTGATTATATCGAATGTATAAAGAAAGAACTTTGAAAGTTACAGCAAGAAGAATTTATACAAGACTTGATTTAATAAACATTGGAAATATTTTTGTCAATATTATACTTCTAAAGGAGGAGGTGAAGAAATAAAAATCTAAGCAACAAAATGTGATTGGGAATAGCTATTTCGTTTAGCTGTGATCTCTTTACGTTTCTAAAATACAAGGCTTTTAATTGGTGAAACAATTCAAAAGTACTTCAAGTGCATGTTTCTTAATAACTGGTAAAAAATTTCTATAGCTATTGTTAGCCTTAATGATGCCATAAATAATTAAGGAGTTGAATCATTCAATAAGCATTTGGAATAAATATTATTTTTGATGTAATTAATTTGCCACTTAAAATTAAAACCTGTTAACCAATGAAGTGATTTGATTTGAAATATTAATGATATTCTTCTCAAAAGGAAGTTAAAACTCTTTGAATCAGCCATAGCTTCTTTAAATACAACTCTACATAGTAGTTGTTTGTAAAAGTCTTTAATATTATTCTTTCTAATAATTTTGCATTGAAGAAAGATCAATGACAAGAGGTATTTAGTTCATTATAGTCTTTTTCCCATCTAAAACAGATATAAATGGGTGAACTTGATTCTAATATGATCAATACATAGTACTTCTTTAAAAAAATAGGTTTAAACTCTTGTAGACACTGACCAAAATTATTTGAAATTTAGTTTTAGTTAATAATTGGTAAGATTTTTTGTGAATTGCAAGTATAAATCATTAAGTAAAAATATGGGAAATTGAAGCAAGAAAAATTCGTTAGGTAGTTTTTTATTTAAGACTACTTCCCAAACATTTGAGTCTAATTATTTAAAATTATATTGTATGACAACTTCTATGGTTGTCAAGTTTTAAAATGATAGATTGATCTTAAATGTCTTATTTGATAGCTTTGGAAAGTAGACAATAGATACAACCAACTCAAATTGAAAGTTTTTTTAACTCATACTAAATTCTCTAACACGATCAAGCTGCAACTTGCACTATACTTTGTTCCTAATTTCTAAACTTATTCTAATATCTCAAACTTTCCATATCCATGTACAACATTGGTGAACTCTTTCACACGATTTATTGAATATTTATTAAAACTTGTGTACATTGAGGGTTTAAACTAGCATCCAGCATCAAATCCTCAGAAAACCAGCAATGACTCCTTGAAATTGAACAATGGAACCCCAAACTTGATTTAGTCGACTTAATCCAATGACTGCAGCAACTCTAATGAAGACTTTTTCATGCATTTAAAACTGAACAAGCACCATATACGTATCAATGGTTAAAGTTTGCATAATAGGTTTAGGAGACCTGAAACAATATGTTCATTAAAAGAAAATATTTACAAATATGGACATTCTATTCATCACACTTCAACCACACCATTCCACAAATTATTGTGAAATAATGTCTTGGCTCAATGTTGAATTGGGTTTTTGACTTTCAAGCCAATTTTGATTAGGGGTGGATAAGTGTAAGCGGCACTCTCTATGGCTCAGTTCTAAGACCAAGCAAGATTAAGCATGTTAACTAAGGGCTGGCTTGGGGTTCTACTTTTACGGTGGCACCCTTGTTCTAGTCACAAGTTGAAGTCTGTGGTCGAACAGGGTTCTCACCGTTGGACTCTCTCCGGCTGAATGACTTGAACAGCGTTTCCGATTGAATTTGGTTTGTCTATAACAGGCCGCTGGTGACCCGCTCAGTCATCGAACTCTGGTTCTAACCAATTATAAAATCGCTGCAAGGAGCCACGAGCCGGCCCACGTAGGAACGAGGCTCGATGGATGGCAGAAGGGCCGGAAATGGAGGCCAGCCTTGGTGGGCCGGAGTGGAGGAAGTCGGAGTGGTGTAAAGATTGCTACAGAGGGCGCGCGCAGGAGGCGGGCGGGAGGGATTAGGCCATCGGGAGAATCGAGCAGATCGCCGGATCTGCCGTGGATGATGGGTTGGTTACGCTGGTACTTGGTTCCAAGCGCAAAGAAGATGATCTCCTCCGAAGGGGGAGAGATGTCATAATTGTCGGGGAGACGGTCGCCATTTCACGCGATTCAACGCTGAGGATCGGTAGAAAGGTCCCTGCTCTCTCTCTCTCTCTCTGTTGCGCGCCGTACATTGTTCATCTCTGCTCGCCGGTAGAGGCATCCCCCTCGATGCATCGGCTCCGGGCTCTTCTGGTCTCCGGGTGCGGCGTTTCCCAGAGCGCCGGCGGCTCACTCGTGGGATCGTCTGTTCTTCGGCGCACCTGGCCTACGCATCATGCTATTTCGCCGACGGAGTCTACCGGGTTTCGTCGCCCACTCAGCGAGGTTCTCAGGATGCCAACAAGGAGTCTGATCGTCGAAACGCTCGCTCAACAGCCGGTGAGGTTGGAGAGGCTCTCCGGCCCCGATAACGGTAATGCTACACCCTCTTTGTTCTCTCGGTGGAGCTTGCCTCTTCGGGGTAATGCCGAATGTTCTGTTGGATTTGGTTGCAGGTATTGTTGCGCTGAAGTTGGATAGGCCGGAAGCGAAGAACGCCATCAGTAAAGATATGCTGAAGGGAATTCAGAGTACCCTGCATTCGCTGAGGGGGGACATGTCGGCTACTGTCATGATGGTTTGCAGCTGTGTTTCCAGAGTCTTCTGCGCCGGTGCTGACCTCAAGGTTAAGACCGGACTTTTCCTTTTCTCATCATTCTACGAGTTCGCGGTCATTTTGAAAGAAACAATAAATGGGGAATGCTTTTCATATGGCTGGAGTAGGTGAGCCATGATTGAGTGTTGAAAGAGACGCCCGCATCAAAATTTTAAGTAGACATTATATGTAGGACACTTGTGGCCTTCTGAAGATACGATTTGATATTTTACAGCTTTGTCTTGAGGTGACTCGTTCTTTCCAAACTGAAACGTAAGAACCGTACAAAGATGGAAGATAGAAATATTTCGGTAGTTCATTTCTTAAGCTTGAAGTCATTCTGTTCGATGGGCTTGACACTGGCTCTTTCTTTCATATTACTCAGATAAACAAATTTAAACTCTTCGTAGGATGTTAACAGCTTAGAGTAGGAGGCATACACCCGTGCCATGACCGGTTCTGATTTATACTAAATTTGCTTCCAAGTCTGTCTAACATCTGCCCCAATTTTATGAAATATTGGAGGAAGAGGTTGATACCAATTTTCTCCACATCTGTATTTCTTTTCCATCTTAGGCTTTATAAGAAGCAAAATTTATGGCATTTTTTCACAGTACACATCTTTTTTTAATGAACTACTAGAAATAAAACCCAGCACCCAATGCCCTTTATTTTAATGAGCAACTGTAAATCAGATCAAGTGAATGAAAATCATCGCTCTTTTGCTAGTTCTCACGGCAAGTATTTATGAAGGGCTTCAGGTTTCTGGCAGTGGTGAGACTTGAGTCCCATGATGTCAGCTTGCATGTATAAGGGAACTATTTAAATATTTTCTCTGGTCAGCTTCATGCAACAAGAATAACCCTCAGAGTGTTGCAACATTCTAGGGACTTTCAATCTGGAAAGGAAATTGGTGTATTGCGGTCTTATCTACAAAATGTATTTCCCTCGTATGTTTACTTTTGAATAGTAGAAATCATTCTTCAGATTTCTTTGATGATGGTTTCGCTCGTAAAAGTTATCTAGTTATATGTTGTCCATTGATAGCAGCCACTGCCAAAGAAATCAGTCACAAAACTTGCGAATTTATCTATCTATTTATTCATCTTAAGGATTTTCTCTATTGCCTTTCATAGGTGAGACTGTTATGTAAACATCCTGGCAGATCTTTTTAGGCAATTTTTTCTAGCCATCATTCTGCCATTCTAGAGAGTTGGTTCTGTCATCCGAAGTTTTCTTGTGTGAATCAATTGGAATCCATTGTAAGAGATATAATGGTGGTTTTAACAGCAAATCTTGAATTTAATTTAAGGTGGATGTTACTCTCTTGTCTAGGTGTTCCTTTTAGTGGAATACATCAGTCACGAACTCGGAATGTGATTTGATTAAAGGTAATATGTATTTATCCTCGTGAGATCTTTCTTTCTGTCTTTATTTGTATCCCTTAGGTCCATGTTGGCCCATCTTTTTATTGTTTGTAATTTTATATCGGACAAGTTGAACCCTGACTCAGCTCATTAATATCTATGCCATATAAGTGATTTGGAGAAAAGCAATTCCTACGGGATCATGTTGTGATCTGGAAATGATTTTGAATAGGTCTAGGAGAACATGCCTAGGTAACGATGAAGTAGACTTTGATATAGCCAGCATTGCTTCAACTGAACTTTGCAATCATATAATTTCATTGTATCCTTTTCACTTCAAAACCCCTGGAGAGGTTTGTATCTTCGGCGTGTAATTACTGTAATCCTGTCAGAACTGCTTTTAAATTTTAATTTATGCACGGTGGCAGTATTATTTGCCATGTCACTTGACTTATGTCGTTATCATGATTCTTGAATGAGGGATGATTCTTAAAAGGGTGTTCAAGCGACTGTGATTGTGGGTGTGTTTTCCTGGGTACACTTTTTCTAGATATTTGTTTTCTAACTTGGTTCATGCAGTTAGGCCGTTGGGCATATCATTAACTTTTTAGTTATTTTAAACTAGTATAGTAATTCTCTTAGCCATGTTTTTAAAAATTTGCAGATCGTTACAAGATATGTATCACAAGTTTCAAGGGCAATAGTTCGTTGATTAGGAAAAGATACTGATAAGTCCCTTGTGTGTGTGTGGTAAATCGAGGGTAATTACTTCGGTCTACTATCAAACCAGAAGGTCCTTTACCATGAGGCTGATCTCTAGCATCTTGGGTGTAGCTCTTATCTTACTTTTTGTCTTCTCTGCTTCCCATCATCTATCTCCTTTTGCTGTTTTCTCCCGTCCTGAATAATCCTTAAATAGTTATCTTCACATCTATTGACCCAGTCAATGACCGCAAACAATTCTAGACCAGAGGCACATTTCCAGTCTCTCATTACAACCTATCCACAACTGTATTCTTCGCATGCAACAATGAAGAAAGCTGATCCATGGAGATTCACATAGATTTAGTCCATAACCACCCCTTGCAAAGAACCGATCGGATCTTTCATGACATGCCTACTTCCTTCCAGTTTCGCCTCACACAGACAATGTTTTTTGTCCTGCGCGTTTTAAATCAGACCCAACTATCGAATTGCATAAAAAAGGATGTATCTTGTGGAAACTTAATGTATTAATGCATACAAAAGAGTTTGGTACTGCCTCTGTCTGACTTCCTTGGCTTTATGATTTGAAAGAATGGTACTGAGTATTCAGTTTTGCTGGGTACAGACCGGTAAAACTTCAGCTTGAGTTTTGGTCGGCAGCTGAGGCTGTGTTTTATTTTTCACATTCTTAAGTAGCGAAGGTGAGAGTGTTCTTGGTGAACGAAGGTGGCATGTTTACGCCTTTCATACAACATTTTCTTGTAATTTAGTTTTATTGTCAATAAAATATTTTCTTCCTTCCTGGTGTGGAAAATCACTTTCAATTGTCGTTAAATCCAGTTTACCTTGAGCTATAACTAATTATCCTTTTCAGCTGGTAGATCGGCTAAATGTTTGAATGATTATGAAAAAAATGTCCTTTTTCCTCTCTTGAAACTTTCTCGATAGTTTCGGGTTTCTACATTGCCTTGATGCAATCTTAAAGCCATTCAACTCGGAGACAGAAAGTGCGTAGGGTTACTGTTGACTCCATCACTCTCTTTCTTCACAGTACCCATTTTCTCTTTTTCATATGTCAATCAGCACAATTTTTTTTTCTTTTAATAGATATTTCATCTGAAACGCCACTTGTTATGTTTTGTTAATATGCATGAATAACTGTGGTGATGGGTTACGCTTTCTTTGGATTTTCCTTGAGAGTACTGGTCTCTGTTCCTAGACCAACAAAGACCTTGAATACTGAACCATATTTGACCATTATTTTTCTGTAGGAGCGCAAGCTTATGAGTCCTTCAGAGGTGAAGGATTTTGTGAACTCTTTGCGGTCAGCATTCACAGTCATGGAGGTTGTTCTCTCGATGCCCTTTCTGAAAATGTTTCAAATCCCTTCACTCATAAAGAAGTATTATGGCTGAATCCTGTTAAATGAAGTGACACCATTATCTCTGAAAAGGTTATACATTGTTCATCAGTAGGCACCAATAATTTCCTACCAGAAAATAGTTTTATCGGCTGCAAAGGGCTCGTTTTAAGCAGGTGCTTCCTATCCCCACAATCGCTGTCATTGAAGGTGCTGCATTGGGTGGAGGATTAGAGCTGGCGCTCTCATGTGATCTTCGAATATGTGGTACCACCCTCTTCAACATGCCCAACTTCCATATATCACTTGTATTAGTGTAGATCTCACTGAATTATGAACTTAATTCTAATCCCTTACTTAGGAGAAGATGCAGTATTTGCCTTGCCCGAAACTGGGCTCGCTATAATACCCGGGTATATACTTCATCTAAGTTCTCTATGCTTTGTACAAAAATGGAACATGACCAAAATGCTCATTTTTATTTGAAACTCTTGTTCATCTCTATTTCTAGGGCGGGTGGGACGCAAAGGCTACCAAGAATAATAGGGAAAGCTTCTGCGAAGGAGCTGATCTTCACTGGTCGGAAGGTTGATGCAAAGGAAGCTATGGCTCTCGGTATCTCCCTTGCTTTTTTTTTTTAATGATATCGTGGGTTTCTGTTTCCTTCCCCTGGCCATGTATTTCATAGATTCATCCATAAATCTCTTGCACAGGCCTTGTTAATCACTGTGTTCCTCCTGGAGATGCTTATCACAAGGCCCTTGAAATCGCCCGAGATATAAACCAGAAGGTACAGATTGTCCTCCGGTGGGATCTCCATCTTCTCTCAAATCTCTTCTCCTCGGATGAATCATGGCTGCTTTCAGGGTCCGTTGGCTTTAAGGATGGCCAAGCATGCAATCAACGAGGGGCTGGAGGTTGAGATGTCTTCTGCTCTGGCGGTGGAGGAGCGTTGCTATAACAGCCTTTTGAACACGAACGATCGCCTTGAAGGATTGGCGGCCTTTGCGGAGAAGAGAAAGCCAAGATACACCGGCAAGTGATTTGCCCCCCCAACTGTGGTTCTTCCTCTCTCTCTCTCTCTCTCTCTCACTGCCCTCTCTGTCACCTTCCAACTGCATGAAACACTACATAGTGGCTAATGCCCAACCTCTTTCGCTGTACGAGTGTGATTCCCGTGGCCCCCAGTGGTGGAAAATCTCTAGAGAGAAATCAATGTGACGGATGGCGCAGGTGCGGTGGCGTACGTCGGCGCGCAGCACTGGACGTAGAGGCTCGCGGGCTGGCACGACAGCTCGCACCAGCACGACGGCATAGGGCATGCTTGCGTGTGCGAGGGCGCGCCGGAGCGGATATCTGATAAACGCGGGGTAGCAGGAAAGGCAGCCGGTAAAGTGCTTTTCGTCGGTATCTCTTTCGTCGGTGGAAGCCCCCTCCGTCAAGGGCGGCCCTTTTCCGTCCCATTTGTCCCCGAGCCTCATCTTCTTAACTACGGCTGCGGGAAGTCATTTGTCTCCGAGCCTACCCAGACCTCTCGGAGAGAGAGGGAGGAACGGCGGCAGAGGGAGCAAGTCCCGTACAGAGCATTTCCGACAGTCCAGCGTTCGACGGAGGAGCCAACCTTTAGAAGGAAGGGCCAGTCTGCCGGCATCCTGCCCCCTTAATCTCCATCTCGGATTCATCTTTTCCAGCCGGGTTCGCTCATGGAAGTGTAAGAATTTTCGTGCAGAACCACTGAACTGATCTCATTTCAATCCTGTTTCGACCATTGGAGAAGGCGATTCCTCGTCTCAGCAAACTGCTTCCCATTTTCCTCCTCCCTCTAATGTGTGCCCTAATTTCTCTTTCAGCTCTGAAGGAAGCCCCAAAGGGTATGACCGGACGGGGAGAGATGGCGGTGGGGGCTCCGCGAGAACCACGAGCATCCATGTTACTGCGCTTGATGGGCTGGTGAACGTGAACTCCTTGTTCACCATTGCCGTCTTCGTGGGTCTGTCGATCGCCGCGCCGGGCCAGCGCAGCCTGGAGGGCAAGTCGGCGTGCGACGCAGGGCCCCAAGTGGCCGAGAATCTCCTGGTTTTCGAAGTGGTGTCCTTCAGCTCCTTCCTCTTCTCCAGCCTGGTGGCGCAGGGGCTCAAGCTGGCCATCAATCTGCTCAACAGCAAGGATGTGGACGAGGCCTTCCGCGCCCACATCAACATCAAGGTGCTGCGCTTCGGCATGCTGCTGTCGGCGGGTGGCTCGGTGCTCGGCTGCATCTTCCTGGTGCTTTCCATGGTGAACGTCATTCAGATTCGGCTGGGCATGCTCTCCTGCGGCAGTCGAGCGGCAGTACGGGCGGTTACTACACTTGTCACCCTCGTGTCGTCGGCGCTTATTCTCTACATCTCCACAGTTCTCTACTCCTTCAAGCAGTGACATCCTCCCAAGTTGGTATTGCGATGCTCTCTCAGTCTAACTCGTAGATGGTTTCGATGTGTGCTTGAATATTTAAGAGTGATACTCGTTTTGGTTTCAACTATTCATCATCTTTAGCATGTTTAAAGTTCGCATACGCCTGCGATCAGATTTGAAGAGCTTGAAGAGTTTCGAATATGGATTCAAGGACGAACATATGGTGCAGAAATTCCATTCGTCTGTGAATTTCTATAGGGACTCAATGCCCACTCCTGTTCGAATAAATCGACGAGACAGGACTAAAACATAAGTCGAAACACTTGTTGAACCCGTTATTTTTCCTCACACGAGATTAACTGGAATGAACGTGTTAATTTGCTCCAGCTGGTGGGGAAGCTGGTGATGATGATGATGATGATTTTATGAGTTATTTGCGCATGGTTTCACAAGCACCATCTATCTGCAACATGATTATCTAGGGAACCCACCCCATTGGAGGCACTTTTGTTTCATGACTAACACATTGGGGAATCCTTGTCCCATGGTCCTGACAACCCGTTATCACAGGAATTAATCAAAACATTATCCAAAAAGCCGCTCTCTTTGCAGTTTTATTTATATGGGAAATTAATTAAACGTCTGTTGAATGTGCAGCTATTTCAGTATGCCATTGTTCCTTGGAGGGTTTGTCGTTCTCTGTTTGATAACATGGGATAGGAGCAGGAATTTGAGGGGGAGACTGATATAGCGATGATGCTCTAGAACAGGAATTTCAGTGGAATGGATGTGAATGGACCAAACAGGCATAATTCCAATGAAAACTCTTCACAACTCGACGAATGAGAAGGTAAAAGCCTGAAGAAAAGAGAAATCGATATCTCCAGAAAAATATCTAAAAATATAGAGAAATCATGTAAACTCAGAAAATAACCAGAAATCAAAAACCTAAAAGATTCATAGAAGAAGATGTTGACTAGTTGAGCAACCATATCTGCTTACATCCAGATTCATGTGCTTTTCTATTGGCTATTTCTCAGCTTGATTGCTGGCCTTTTCTATGTTTGGATATACATTCTTGTGTCCAAGTTTCTCTTGCTATGAAGGGGAGCTTTAACATATTGTGGTGAATATCAATATTGGTGTGTTAATACTCACATTTTTTCTATTTATGTCAAAAGCCTCCTCGGACTCGCTTGTATCTGTCCTAATGTTTGATGCATTAGGTACAAAAGGAATAAATGTATGATATAGAACAGGGGTCTGAGGGACTTCAACTACTATGGAAACTTGGATAGGTCCACCGTATGGTTGAGTGACAAACCTTAGAGAAAGCATGTGACTCTTTGAATTGTCAATGGGTGTCAGAGAGGAAAGCATGTAGACGGATAAGAATTGTTGGTTCACAGATAGTCTAAGTATAGGAAAAGGGCCAATAAATTAGTTTTCTAATGATTTTTATCATTTTTTGATGCTTTTAATGTAATTATGTAAATTATAGATAAAATGGGTCAACACAATACTGTTAGTCGACATAGTGGGTTAGCATAAGATTTTGTGATTTGGCACATCATTTAAGTGGGTTAACATGTTAACTTGTAAATTTACTTAGACATCAAGATTTATAAAGTTTGAGCATTCTCTTGGCCTACATACTCTTTCCAAGAGTCATAACACGATTTTCACTATTCTCATCCTAAAACTATAGTTATAACTCGTGACATTAATAATCTGTAGTTAGACAAGAAATTTCTAGGGATTGTCACCTCACACTAAACACCAAGGTTTACCTATCTAGCCATGTTACAACCACTATCCCAAGCTTCACATATAAAATGACAATTTCTGAACTTACAATAATATTTGAGTACTTTGAGGTTGCTTTCCTATTGACATAGACAATTTGGCCAAAGGAGGTAGTTTAAGCACATGGGCTTGCAAAAGTAGATCAGATTTTCCAAAGTTGATGCATTATTTGAAAGGTCGTTCAAGGAACTTTTCACATGGACTTCAAATGACTAAGATATAATTGGTCAAATATTCTCTTGCTTGACACATGGGTTGACTTGTTGGCAGGTTGTGTGATCAAATTGGCCAAGATGGTCAATTTAACCAACTTTTGATACTGCCAAACTATGTACATATCCATCAAAGATCTTCTAATGTTTCATTGATCTTGATGTGTCACGGTACAATGTGCTTGTCAGATTCTACCAACACATGTCAACTGCCATGCCAAAATAGTTTCTAAGACTTTTTCGTCATTATATTCATATAAGAGATACATTGTTCTTGTCTGATTCTTCTCCCCACGATATCGTATGTTCTATTTGAGATTTTTCACATGTTAAATGATTGGCAGACCTTTGCCACATGTCCAATACATGTGTTGATCTATTTTGCATATCAACTTAGACAAATCGACTTAGCCACATTTCATTTGCACATTCAGACCTTTCCACATGTCTTAAAGATTGTAGACTATGTTGCCATTTGTTACTTTTTGTTGGACTTTTGCTTCATGTCGTTGTTGTGTCACATGTCACCATGATTCAAACATTTGCTACATTGATCTTGCATTGGATGATTGTTATATGTTACTTGCATTTTATTCTTGCTTTTTCATCTAAACTAATCTCTTTTATGTTGATTTGACTTGGCTTGAGACACATTTCTAACATATCTTCTTTTCATCAGGTTTGAAATATATATTTAAATAATAATCAAATTTAGATCTAAAGATTTTGATTTTGATTTTGATTTGGAGATTAGTGCATTTCAACATATTTTCAATCATATATTTTCATTGATAGTACCATGAAGCTTACTTCACCCTATCATGTTTCAACCTCCAATTGAGCTCTATGTAGGGCATCATAGGGTACGTGCCACCAAGTTGACAACCTTGATCTTCTCCCTCATTGTAACTACATTGGGCCCAATTGAGGCCATTTTTTCTCTAGTAGAATATTGTGGCTTGTCTTACTATTGATTATTATGGTCATTGGGTGGTAACTTATGTTGGGTTCTAGATAAAACCTTGGCTCACTTTGGCTTGTAGATTTTCGTCCACTATTGCAAGGTACCAAGTAGATGAGAATGATTCAACAATAGACTACTAATCTCCATCAACATCTCTTGTGCCATGTTCATTGCTTCTCTACTTGCTTGAGTTGGACACTCATTTGGACAATGTGGATCATCCTACAACACAATTGATGTGAACTTGTGCATTCTTTGGCCCTACTGATAGAATTGCTTGTAGTTGCCTCCAAAATACCTACTTCAGTTAATGCCTTTGCTGTCACCACACTGATGGTCTTTTCTAACATTGTCTCAATGCTTGGCACCAATGTTCAGTTCAATTGGATTGCAACTCTTGTAGTCCAATGTTGTAAGTTATCACCATGAATAAATGAAAGTATTAAGCTCCCTACCATCAAAACTCTACTTGCACCCAACCTTAAAGACTTCTATACAATTAGAGAGTTTGTCCTTGTTGATCATATTCTTGATTGGAGGATTAAATTAAATAACATAATATAATCTTATACAAAACTCATATGTCGTTACCTTAAAGGGTATTTCTTACCATTCATGTTCTATTAGCGGAAGGGAATCAATCCTTTGATTCTTTCAAACAGTCATCTTTGGTGTTGACAATGGCTCTACTCATTCCTTTGTCATTGTCTGCCACTACAAGTTAGTGTTGAATGATAGGTGCACGCTCTCTATTGTAACCTTTGTTGGTTTTGAGATGTGCATCTCTTAGAAGTAGTGATTAAAATTTGATAGAAATTTGTATTTTACTAGACATTTAGTGCACCATGAGGGTCTTTAGCTCTAAGACCTTTTGTCATATTGCACTACTCATCAATAATTCCTTAAGTAGTGCTATGTCTACAACCAATCTTTTAGTACCTCATGCAACTTGTTGGCACTCATGACATCATGTACAAGTAATGTAAATACATAATATTTTGATGATGACAAACACACAAGCTCAATCTAAAAATCAAATTATGCTTACTATGCATATTTAATTTATAGATAAGTATTCTATTGTAGATGAGTTCGAATGTGAATTTAAGAATAATTTAAATTAATAAAATAATAATAATAATAATTCGAAGAATGTGTGAGAACGTCATAATGTTGAATTCCCAAATTTGATTGATTTTACCTCGAATTATTAATTAATATATTACCATAAAAAAATATCAATATTTATAAAAACTACCACTAGAAAAATAATTATTAGCCCTTCAAAATCAACAAGAATTCATGACGTCATATATGAGTATGATTATTAACTAATATATTAGATATTCATGATGATAAATCATTACTTCTAGTTCTTGATGATATTAAATTAATTTATTGGAGTCATAGTATTCATACTATTGCCCATGATTATTTGAATATTAAGTATTATTATTTAAGACTAATTTTTTATATTTTATATCCTCAAAGTCATGATTTTACATATGCATATTTTACTTGGCCATAAGGTCATGCTTCAATATATCCACTTGTCAATCACGATTTGTTTCAAGTGATTTGGATAAGGTTTTGATTGTTAAATCATTGTTTTATTTTTAGATGTATTATCAATTCTATTGTGATGATAATAGATCATCAAACCTGATTGAACCAATATATTTTGGATGTATATATATATGTTGATGTTTTAATGATCATATGTACTAGTTTCTCATAAGGGATTCAAACCCTTAAAAGATGTTCAAATTGTTAACCATTCTAATTTATAATTAATTTTATAATTTAAATGTTCAATGACAACAAAAATTAAGAAAGATGTCTAAATTGAATTTCTTTATGAATTGAGCACCTCTCTGATGGAAAGTTAATTCTAAATGATCACTTTTTATTTCTCTACCATTTTGAAAGTCTTCTACATATTTTATACAAAAACAATTATGCAAATTTAAGAGGTATTTGATGTTTATCAAACATTAAGAACCTAATAGATTTTCAAACTTCATCAAATGTTAAGGAACTAAATTCAAGTTTCAAGAGATTTTCATTGATCAGATCAAAGTGTCAATGCTTTTTGCATTTAGTCTACTTCCTTATGAAAAGGGGACAGCAAGAATTAAGTCTTCACCATCATCATCTTCATCAAATTTTTGGATATAATCAAAGTCAATGGTAACTTTCATAAACAACTCACACTGAAATATTTCTTTATTTATATGTGGGTAAATTTGGGATTACAATTTAACTTAATTACTCAAAGGAGTTGAACCTTGTAATCAATTTTTAGCCTCTTAAAGTCATTAATGTAGAAGATAATGTAAAATTCCATGAGAACTAAACTTAAAAATCAACATTTTTGATTGATGGATACTTGAACTAATGGAACCTACCATCAGAGTTATTCTCAAATTTTATGAGTTACTTACTTTTAGAACTAGAAATATAGTAGGATTTAGGATTTGGAATATAAGAACAACAGTGTTATAAATAGTTGACTAAAGTAAAGCATTAGAATTCAATCAATTCAAGCCCTCCCCTCCTTTTGTTGATATCACATTGTCGTGTGAGTTTTGACTAAATTTATATATTTTTTCTCCTCAATGTCAACCACAACAGCAGCTACAGTCCTAGGGTGTGGTATTCTTCATTCTACAAGGAAAATACATTATGAGATGAACCTCTGGAAATTCATAACTCTTATTTCATGGTTCTTAATTCATTTTTCCTGTCCCTTCTAATTATGGGCCATTTCCTTATATAGGAGAACAACCTTACACTATGGAACAATCATAACTAACCCCATAATGACTTTAGGTAGTCATGAGATACTACTATTTTAAAGTAGCAATCCTAACTAATCAACAGCTTAACAACCTTAACGGTCCATATAACAAAGTCAGGTGGTTATGAGGTAGTACCAGCAAGTCAACGTAACTACCCAGTCACACGTGTACGGGACTCTATGCACTTCACACATGCTACATTATAATTGTGATATGTCGCATCATGCTACATGTCAGGTTGTGCCATTGTTATGTCACCTCATGGCAGCAGCCTTTGGGGTTCACTGACTTGATTCCTTGAACCTCTTGTTTGTACTAACGAAGTTGTCTGCCTGAATTATGCACCAATGCACAAGCCCTGTGTGCCTTACATTATGTGTATCTAATTGAGTTGTTAAAAGAAATCATTTTACATCGGTCCATGCATTATGGAAGCATTCATTTTTTACATTTAGTCATAGGTGACATATATCGATGCATACATAATCATTTGGAGTCGTAACTATTTTTACAGTATAGAAGATGCCCAAATCTTAGGCACTATGAATAGTAAACGGGATGTGTCCTGACAAATCCTCTTTTAATGAGTTATCTTCTATAAGACACCCATGCTATGGTCTCTAATCTACTTATGGTACAGTCAAATTTCCATAAGTATGACTTCTAACAGAAAGCTGGTATAAAGGGGTGAAAATTATAATGAAACTTATTTATAACAAGTATTTAAATGATATTTAAACAAACCCATTCGCACTATGCCACCATACACTAGCCTTCGTCACTTGCACATGCTGCACTATGCCACCATGCACCTTCATGCACAAGCTATATATTTTCGCGTGCACTGCATCATGCCACATAGTATCCACGAACAACAGTCTCTGTGTATGTGTGTGTGTCATTACACGTGTCAAGACACATGATGGTGGCATGGTTACAATAGATGTGTCACCATAGATGATAGCCTATCCAAACTTTATCTCTCACTTTAACGTATCTTAATTGGGTTTCAATGATCCAAATATTTACTCCATAAGGCCATATTCTTTGAATCCATATTTTATGAAACATTTCTCAATGAAAGATGATGGATAAATTTTAGACTTGATGGGAATAGTTTGGGCGATCACTATCGCTCATAGAGCCAACATCTGACGATCTTCATTCCTCCGATTTCTAGAGAAAAAGTTGGGCAGTGAGATGAAGAAAGGAGCGGGTGAAGGGCGTCGGTTACGTTATCACGCACTCCTACGTCTCTCCGAAAGAAGCCAGAACTCTCGTTTTGCGCAAATTGTCGCATCCGAACTGTGGAAAAAAATGGATTGTTTAGTAAATCCTCCTCAGCCTTCACTTCTATCATTTCACCAATTCGCAGATCCAATCAATGTCTGGTAAGTCGGACTCGTCTCCACGTTCGACGTCGTCACCAGCGATCTCCAGCCTTCTTATGTCCTCCGTTACGTCGGCGCAGTCCCTGTCAAAAGATGACGAGGAGGAAGATGGCGACGGCTCCTCCCTCACTGCGCCTACGCAGCTTCCGCAGCAGCGTCGCTGGGGCCGCCAGTCCCCGCCGCACCCACAGCCACCGCAGCCCAGCGGGCGCAGCTGCTCCGGTGTGTGGGCGAAGAAGCAGACCTTGCGTTGGCACTGCATGCCGGCCTTGCAGGGGCGCGTGCGGTACCTGGCCGGGTGCAGCCAAAATTCGAACACGCCGTGGGAGAACTGGCAGAGCTGGCCCTTGCTGCAGGCGCCCGCGCGGCGGAACTCGGCGCAGGAGACGCCATGGTATGGGAACTTGCGGGGGTCTCGCCGGCGGGCCTTCTCACCGCGGTGGGCGTAGGGACACTGTGTCCAGTCGTGGCTCCTCGTCTTGCTGCACCGCCTGATCTTGAAGCAGTACATGCGGAACTCGTCCGACTCCTCCAGCGCCTGTCCCTCGGGCGCGGGAAATTGTGGTACCATGGGCGGACAGGAACTGGTTACATCAAGGTCCACCTGAGCAAGGCCGATGAGAGTGCGGGCATGCGAGAGAAAGAGATCGAAATCAGGGAATACATGAAGAGAGAGAGAGAGAGAGAGGGAATCAAGACTAAGGTTTCACGTATGACTCAGACGCATAGTTGAGGACGGGAAGGACACGTACCATTGTCATGACGACCAAGAAGATCAGAAGCAGAACTCAGCTGGAGCATGAGAAGAGCAAGGAGAGGAGTTAGCTGGCTCGCAATAGACCACATGAAGGGGGAGAGAGGAGACAACGTTCTCCGTCTACTCCTCTCCCCCCGGGTTCCGCGGGGTCTTCTTCTTGAAAGAGAAGGAAACCGTAGGCTTTATTTATAGGACCAGTTGTGCTTCTCTCTTCAAAACTTTTTCTCCCTCCCTCGTTGCCTTCTCCGTCCCCTCTCACTGTTAAGATAAGCCGTAAGGGAGGATCACCATAACGTACGGACCAGTTACTTATCTCTCTCTCTCTCCCTCCCCCCACCCCATTCCACTGCCTTGCTCAGAGAGAAGGGCGGTAATGTTGACGCCTATGTCACATGCCGCGCATGCAGAGCCACATGGACTAGTTCCATTCGTTCTGTTTCCCGGCCGACGTGTTCTCGAGACCTTGTCAGTCCACGTGCCCTGCCCACTTGTCGAGGGCTCTCTCAACGTGCCCTACTGCCATCGTCGAAGCCGCAGGCAGAGCCACCCCCATCCTTCCTTCCACGTCTCTGACGCCTACACAGGGGCGGGGGGCGCAGCTGGGTCATGTAGAAAGGAAATAAACGGGAGACAAGGTAAAGTAAATAAAGGAAATGATCAGGCGTGCTCATCGGCGTAGACGTCCCCTACTTGCCATCTCGAGTACCACTAGTGGCCGCCACAGCACGAGGCTTACAGATACGTGAGCGACGGCAACGTCCATGTTCTTTCGAAAGCACAAGAATGAACAACCCAGCCAATAATTGGTTTATCTCACTACAGAGGGCATCAGCATGGCTTGGAATCAGAAGCTTCGCTCTGGTATTTCTCCAGCAGTAGGTTACAAGAGTTCATGGAGCGGGCATCCAGTAGGCTGTGGTTCCACAGCTTTATCATGAACAGCCTCCAACACCTGATCACAGAGCCACGTCACTAGATGCGTACATGCATTGTTTTTCTTATAAGAGAAAACTTTACTTTAAATGAAAATGTGATGCAGGCAATGAACCGAACTACGGAAATATGCTTTAAGTCATAGTTTAAAGAAAAAATAAACGCAAGAGGGGAGTGGTTAGTACTGAAGAAAGAGAGACGATACCAGATCAGAGCTGGTTCTCTGACAAAATCAGGCCCGTGCAGCTTGGTGAATGCCTCACAGGCCCAAGGAATGTGACCATCTGCCAACACCCTGGCAAGAGATAACAAACTTGGTCAAACAGAAGTTGAAGGTAATGCAGAAATTTTCAATTAATTGAATTAAAAAAAAAACTGTTCTTCGTGTAGCAGAATCCACGGGAAGAACAGCATTTGATGAAGGATTTGCGAGCGCTACAGTATCTTAGACAAGAATATGGCATCCATTGTGTTACGAGATTTCTTCTAGCATATGGGAACACATCTCCCAATAATAATAAGTCACGGCAGAAGGGCATTGAGAAACAACAGGGAAGTGTGCACTTCTCCCAAAGGAGGTACCTCTGCCTCCTCACAAATGAGTTCCACAAATGCATGATCCTCTTCTCATCTTTGGTCACATCAACGAAATCGTCGAGCATCTATAAATGGTATGAACAGAAATATTAAGATAACTGCTTAAGTCTGCTGATTCAACTGATCGAAATTGGCAGGAACACATTGCGTCTTCAGGAGTAATGTAAAAATTGGTCTCTTGAACGTACCCTTCTGTCTTCAAAGTCGGCAATGTCATCGTCAACTTCATCTTCACTGTCCCGATCAGAAAGTACTTGCTCTAATGCCATTGGCTGGAAACAAATCATAAGTTTCAACACCGTTCGACAAATGTCTCCCATTACGCAAAAGAACTAGCAACAGAAACAGCATGTAAAATAGAAAACTAATCATGCACGTAGCATGAAAGTGTCGCTCGTAAATTTGCATAACATACTAAAATGGAAATGTACTTTCTCAGATAGTATTATTGCTTTAAGTATATGAGGCAACTGCGCTCGATATCTGCATTCTCCTTACAATTCATAATGATCTATTGATGCATCAACCGAAGCAGAAAACTTTTAAACACAAAAGTGAGACAGAATAATTGACATCCAAATCTAGGCACAGTTTATTTTCAACAAAAGAATTAGTTAACATTAGTTCCTTTGGCTCACATTCTTCATAGCGTCACAAACAAACTCAGAAACCGTATTAAAGGTCCCTTTGTACTCTCATCAATGAGAATAGAAGAAGGAATAGACAAAATACTACATAGCAAAGGTAATACCTTAGGAAGGAGAAAAACTCTAGAACCTCAATCATTCATAGTCTTATATGAAAAACCTCCAAGTGACTAGTACAAGCCATAAACACCAAGTGACTATGATCTTAAATCTGGTTACTTCCCGATATTTTAGAATCTTTGAAAAGAAACTTTACATCTCCCAGGCATCAAGTCTAAGGAAGAGACCAAAAAACTGTGTACGCTGCATAATTATTGCACCAAGGCACTAAAGAGAGAAACGCTAGCAGGGTGGGTAAGCATGGTAGCCATTTGTTGATGATCTCAGAGAGAGAGAGAGAGAGAGATGAGAGAAGGAAGGAAAGAGAGAAATGCAGAGATGGGCAATAGGAAGGTTGACGAACAGATAGAGCAGAAAATGGGCAAAGAGAAGAAAGAAAGAGAACATGGCAGAGGCGGAGGGAGTTGATACAGACAGCAGGGGTATGGCGGGGCATAAGCTCATTGTTACCTATTTTGCAAAAATACTAGATCAATTAAATACTGTCCATGACAACTAGATACCGAGCATAAGGCTCATTTCACATTCTGAACTCCCCCGTATATTGGGAATGAGTGTCCTAGATGCACACATGAGAACATGTAGTATGACTGTTACATCAAATAGCTCTCACTCGTGAAGTCCAACCACCTTTTTTCAAAAGTCGAGCACCAGAACAGTGCTCGATTTGGGCCTGTCTGGTGATGTCAGAAAGAGTATCATCTGGCAGCTGTATCAAGCAATACCTATGCTATCAACAGGAGAAAAGGCATCTAGGAATAAAAATATTCTCAATTATAATCAGATAACTCCAATCGAAAGTTACTGCCCCTGACAATTATTGAACATTCTTTCAAATTAATGACAGATGGAGAAGGTCCGAATCCCAGCATTAGGTACCAATTGGCACCCTCAAATGATGCTGTCAACGTGTCACCAAATCTTCGATTCGTCACTCAGTGCCAGGGCTGCGGTCCACATGATAACGTAGCAGTTTCAACAATGCATCTAGGACCCAAATGTTTGAAAGTTAGTTATTGAAATCAAATAAATCCCTGCCCTATCAACCCAAATGTTTCAAATTGACAATCAAGATTCAGCCATTGTCCTTCTGCTCCCAATAACTTTATTGCACAGCCGACAAATTCCAGGTTATCTCAATAATTCCGTCTAAAATAAATGAATGAAAAAAAATTATCATACTCAAAGAACAGAGGTTCAAAACTACTATTCCAAACTTGCAGATTATTCTTTTGCTTCAGTGATAAGTACGTTTCTTTGATTTCATATTGCCAAAATAAACAGATTTTCAATGGACAAAAATAGCTCGCCATTTGAACTTTTCAGAAAAGTTTTATACGTCTACTATAATTTTCCTGCATCCATTTCTTTAGTCAATCCTTTATTCTATGAGTTGAATGACCCATAATGTTTTCCTAACCCAAGGATAAATCCTCCAGATAGCAATGCAATATTTTCTCTAAGCAAGAATAATACGGACTCGTATGTGGAGCCATTGATGGTTTTTCCAAGACTTTCACATTTCGAAGCTCAAGAAGTGGATACTTGACATCATAGATTCCTCTTGGGATATAGCGTCTCTTAGAGATTATTCAATTTTGATTTAACTACGGTGTCTCATCTGCTATTATGTCCCAACCCATCATAAATAAACTGTTGTACATTACACCTAAATCTTTTTCTTTACATTTCATTACAAAAATGGAGATACTTCTGTCATCTCACAGCCTAGAGAGAAAAAAATAAAAGATAACGATAGAAAGACAAAGACCATCAGAGAAAGAGCATTTATGCATTTATAAGGAGGATTGAATGAAATTAAACAAGGAAAGAAAAGATTCAGTGGCCTTCAACCAAGCACATCAACATCAAGAGTTGTATCTCACCTGAGCTCTGTGAGAGTGGAAAAACTGACGTTTCTGCAGCAGTGTACGACTACAAAAGAAGAAAAAAATTACACGCATGCCCTGGAAAATAATTGCAAAATTTTTATGCATCTAAAGATAAGAATGAATCCCACTTCCGTAAATAATGGTGTCAATATATATTACCCGTAAGGAAAACGATTGAAAACAACTTACCTCCTAGGATCAGCTCGTTCAACAGGAGCCTTCCTTGTCTTCGCTAATTGAAGGATTACAGAAGCGGTAGTGTTGTTAACTCCAGATACTTGTTGACCACATTCATCAACAGAAGGTTGAGCTGAAGCTGCACAAATAGTTATGGCACTAGGGCTACCGTTAATCTGTTCCATGCGTTCTGCAGGAGAAGCATTTTCTGCCCCGTAAATTTCACCCTTATATCTGGAGAATTTGGAGTGGCTACCATAGGGAAGGGATTTAGAATACCCATCCTCCTTGGTTGTCGAATCACCTGAAAGATATTATCTCAATGAGACTTTTTAATTTTCAGGAGACTGTTGTTAAAGGAAAATTTGAAGTACTAACTAGCAGTGATTCAATGCATCAGAAGCTCACCATTACTTATCCCATTATCTTTCCCGTGTGCACCAGCCTGAAAAAATTCCCTAGGCACTTTTGGGGAGTCTGACCTCAAAGTATGTGGATGGACATGTTTTACATTTGGTCCTGGAGCTTTTGGTCTTCTGCGTCGATTTAGCCTTGACCTGACATCCATTAGACGGGTTTCAAACAAATGCCTGTTTTGGTTCAATTTGAAGGGCCTAATAATAATCCATTAACACAGAGACGTGAAAAAACGGAATGGGATTTCAGTGAAACAGAAAAACTTGTATTTACTCACCATTAGAGTGCATGAGTTTATAGAAGAGACTTGTAAAAACAACGGGTCCTATTCAAAAGCTTTCAAGGATGCCGTAAATTCTTAAGTTGCATAACATAATCAGATACGAGCTGGCTGATCGAGAAACCACGGTTATGTAATTGACAAACAAGATACAACCTGTCAAAAGATAATCGTTTAAAATAATGCTGTAAAGTCAATTCTCAAAACAATAGGTACCAATAGTAAAATGTCTGCAGCCTTGGATCAACACCATCTGCCACAATCTGAAAGAATGCATACCAAGAGTTAGATTTCTCAATCTGAGAAATGTAAAACAGTCTAAAGCCAGTAAATAATCCTAAAAGGTCAAAAAGCTATTAAATGCCAACATTTTTAACTAGATACATAGAACACCGGTTATTATAGATATCTATATCTCCCAGTTCACATTAATATAAGCATCTTTTTATTAAACAAAGAAAAATGTAAACCAAAAGCTAGGATTATAAAACATCCCAAAGGAAAAAGTACAGATTGCAAAGGCCAAAATAAAGGAGCACAGATCATATTGCCAAAGGACATAAGAAGTCGGTAAGAGTCGTTTCTGGACTGAAGTTCTGAAAGGCTTTAGAGTCGATTGAGCCCAGATCCCATGAATTTAAGCCAACAAGTTCGACAGAATTTGTCCACACAAAAGGACTTTGGGAAACATGGGGCATCTTCTAACTTCTGTTCATCTTCTACTGGCATCCTCATTGAACTTCGCCTAATTCCCATATCTATGACTCACCAATGGTAGCAAGGCGCCACTCCACGCAGGTTCCTTAATGCAGATCTCCACTTCGACATTCCGTGCCTACTCGTGGCAAAAAATTATGGCTTCACTTGTCACGGCAAGAATACATAACCCATGAAGAATCAATATTTTTCTGTTCCCAAATTGAATGTTTCAACTTCCTAGGCATGAATGTCTCACTGCCAAATTATCTGGAGGAACTTCCAACTACTTGGGCTCGGGCTCACTAATTAGGCACTACTTAGGCTTGGGCTTGGACCCCTGGGTCATGATATGCAGGGAGATGGTTGGATAGAACAAAGCTAAAACTCCATGAGTCAAATAAATTTTAATGCATAATCCCTCTGATTAAGACTTATTGGAGTCAACTCAATTCTGACTCATGCCATATCGCACAGCTCATCATGATATGTTCAGTAGGCAGCAGCAGTTCCACAAATTTATCCTCCGTTATTTTCCTTCACCTCCATAACCCTTCTCTTCTTGCTGAGTCTAACCATGGTGCGATTTCTAGCATTTAAGAAGTGCTAAAAAAACTTGAAACCTGAAAGTGAGATAACAACGTCTATTGAATTAACTTAATCAGAGCCTCTCTGCCTATAACACTGGGCTCAAATTGGACTGCTCATTGGAAATAAACTCTGTAAAGAAAACTAGATCAATTCCCATGGTGGTACCAAAGGATCCCCCAAATCGTAAAGTCAAAGCGAAAAGCCTCTCCACATCATCAAAAAAAACGGAAAAGAAATTAGAAAGGATGTGTTAACTCAAGACAACATTGTAACAGAGCATCTATTTCATTATAAATCCACCCCCCAATCCTCCCATACTTTCGTGTGTAAGAAAAATTATATATATCCCCCAGCTAGCTGCATTGTACAGTAATCATGTACTTCTTTCATGTACTTATTTTACAACCTTTAGATAGAGTGCAAGATGGAAAGCCAAAGACACATCAAAACATAGTTGGCGCGTAAAGAGTAACATTAGGAGTTTTTTTTCCTTCAGGTATCTTATTGGGATATGAACTTTCCAAATAAGTTGGCAATATGGCACTTCTCAATATAGAACTTTCCATTTCTTTCGGATATTTGCAATACTGAGTCAAACATTGTAAGCACTATGACAAAATGAAACTTCTCTTGATAAAAGAACGATGAGGATACAACTTCATGAGCATTGAGATGGCTTCATGTCAACAACAATTCTATCAATATCTCTCCTGTTCAATGTCATGGTCTTTGATTTCGTCAAAGAAACTAGCTATGTGCACAGACAAAAATAGGATCCCAATGTGGTCGACCACAAAACTACCCTCTAGATGCTCATTAGAAGCCTTTATTGATAGGCATTGACATCAGAACAAAAAAGTTTACAAGTATTACCCAACCAAATAAGGCAATTGATTGAAGAAAAGTCGTACTCTTTTATTTTATATAATTCAAGATCGAAAAACGTCCACACATCCAGAACTAACAAAACAAATGATCCAAAAGGCATATATGAACGAGAAAAAAAAAGGATCAAACTGTAAGTCAATCCATCCAGTAACAAAATTCTTAATAAGAAAAAACAGTGTTGACAGCAAGGACAACATCTCGTCACCTCAGATCTCCATATATCAGTCTTAACAGTAACATTGACAGCCTGATACTCTTCCGTCACCTACACAATGATTAGACAGGCTTCAAGTGACTTTCCACAAAGCTGATGTAGCAGAATTGACAGGAGACTTCAGTAGTTTTACCAACCCAAAACTCAAAGTTGAAAAGGTCATGGCACGAAGTCAAATGATATCGTAGTCCCTACATAATACCAATTATAAATATCACAAGTGGATGCTAATATTGTGAATGAGGACATAAAGCATGCTAACTATGAAACAAAGCGATATTATACAAAACAGACCTTATAGCTTCCACATCTCACCAAGCAAAATGGACAGGAAAAATCTTCAGTGACTGTAAATCGTAAAAATGGAATGATTAGAGAACCATAAACAGAAGAGAATCTTAAAAGTAAATAAGCATCGGTTTATCTAAACTAAAAAATATATATTATACTTGGATATAGACTAAATGAATCCCCACAAACAAATGGCTCCGATTTCAACAATTAAAAAAATCTCATAAATTGAAAATCGACAACACTGCCAAGAACCTGATTGAGTTTCAGAAATTCTTCCAGTTCCCCATCTGGTAGTCTCATTGAGTGCCCACGCTTCTAATAGTAACAAAAGAACCTTTACTCTAGAAATTATGGGCTTGGAAACAGAACAGAAAGATTACTTTCCAGATGCATGTATCTTCCCAAACCATAGTCGTTTTCCCAATTTGAGATATGATTAAACCCCTCATGATAATGAAGAATGCATATTCTGGAAAAAGATTCCGAAGTCAATCTGATATAGTCCTCGGCAGCTTTTTTTTCCTCACAATCCTAACCCAGCACACCTTCATTAACCCGTTTCCACAACCACAAGATAACGTTCGTTTCGGAAGCTCCTTTCCCTGAATATTCTTCCCATGCTGACATATGCACCAAATTGCTCTTCTTTCCAAAACAAAGAATAATTAAATCCTAATCCTTTCATTATCGTGAACTTCTTTTAGAAGTATCAATATCATAACATTGGATAGCACTAATCTCAACAAAATGAATCGTTCCCTGCTGACAAGACTCTGGAAATCTATCCATCGAATAAGTTTTAAGTTGATTACATTTCAATCTTACAAAGACAATGCGGAATTTCTATAAATTGTGAGTAAAAAATAGAATTTCTAATGTCTAGAAATTTCCTCGCCAAAATCAACATGTTAGTCTATATAGAAAAATTAGAAAATGAGTTAAGAAGTGATATGTTATAGATTCCGAGACGATTTATTTGTATGCAAAAATCCAAGAGAACACTTGACCGACCTTCTGTCTTCTGTAGAGTGTTATTGTAGTACCTATAGTTAAAGATGACATTCCCCGCTCTCAACCTATAATTCGCAAACAAAGAGTATCAATCTTGGATAGACTAAAACAAGAGTTTACCAAGTCAAAGTAAGGACTTGAAAGAAAGCATCATGTCACAGATAAAACAAACTCAAAAAGTAAATAGCTATTTAGAATAACATTAAACTGCACATGAATAAACAAAATAATTAAGCTCATGTCAAGACAGGCCCGATTCTCTCAACAGATTTCAGAGTTCACAGAGTAAAATTCAGCAAACCTAGTAGCTGGAAACAGTAAAGTGAGAAAAGCTGCATAAGCAGATCCAAGATAGAGCAATATTTGGTTGCCCACGTCTCTATGCAGAATTTTACAACTTCACTAAATCCGCAAAACGTCAACTAACATCTGGCTGCTGCAACAAGCTGAATATGACGACATAATGTAATTCACCCAAATTCCTAGTATATAGAACTCATTGGCTCCTAGTATTATTTGCATTGACAACAAATGTGATTCACCCATTGTCACTTCTAATGTAGACTTCGGCTTTCCTCTTCTCTACTTTTATCCTTTCAGACCTATGAGTGCATTGTCCATCACCAACCACATCCTGCCTCTTATCCATCTTTTAAACAATGACATCGCCCACCTTATCTTTGTCACAATCCCTGAAGGAGCTCACTTCTGGCCATGCTTCAATAAGTCCCAAGATCCTCTGCCTTGTGGACTATTTGCTTCAATACCGCATTTTTTAAGAAATGCCTGTCTAAATAAAAAGCAAAAAGCAGATATCACATGAAATCACTTAAACATGATATTTTTCATTTGAGAAATAATGAAAAGAAGGTCACATGACATTAGATAAATAAACTTAGGAGTAACTTGAAGATCCAAGCATTACAGTGTCACCAGAGAAATTTGTAACAGGCTTCATACGAAAACCAGGTGCTGACTGAGAAGAATAACTATAATACCAAGGGTATTAAGAGAACACCACACTCTTGAGAGAGAGAGAGAGAGAGAGAGAGAGAGAGAGATAGGGAGAGAACCCTCATTATCAAGGGATGAAGTTAGAATTCGACAGGCCTTTGGCATCCTATGGCCTTCAAATGATAAATTGAAATGAAAGATGATTTCGCAAACAAGGCAAACACCATTTAAAACACTAGAAAGAACACAGAATGTAGAACAAAATATGAAGGGCCATTCAGTTACCGAATAATATGTGCTGGTACATCATCATATGAATAAGAGTCATAAGGGGATCTTTCTCTTGATCCAACTTCCTGAGCAGAAATATTCAATTTCACTTGCTTCACCATACCCTGCAACATGTATGAAACATACATATGACATATAAGAGGAAAACAAGCATCTAATGTACACTATAAATAATGGAAAATGAGATCACCTCTGTTCCAGAATTAGGTGCCATTTGGAAACGTATATAGTTGTTCACGTCCAGAAAGGTAGGCTGTAAATGTAAAAGAAAGATTCAAACAAAAACTCCCCTCTATCAGATTTCTGTTTACACTCGGTAAACTTGTACCAGAACACTAAAGAACACAGTCTACGACTAAAAGCTGCAACAAACATAGATACAGCACAACTCAGACACAGCATTTGTTTTGAAACAGAATAACAAAGTTTGCTACAAAATAGAACGCACACAAGGGTATAGCAAAGATCATATCTTTGTCAAAAAATATAAATATTACATTTATTAATTCTTAAGGGAACATATAGTCAAGCTAAAATGAATCTCTACCTTGCAATCATAATTCAATCCAAGTATTGTTGGGGAACGAGAATCATAAATGTCACTTCCAACAAAATATCACGTATTGTTGAATTTATTTGAATCAGAGAATAAATCCACAACAAGATATCACTTCCAACACATTAAAAACATTTGAGACTGTTGGAAATTCTAGGTCGTAAGAAAATTCTGTAAAAAAATGAGGGTGTTTTGCAAAAATTATGTAAGGTTCCTCCCTATATGATGGGGGCTAGAGGTGAATGAATCTTGAGGTGGCTTCCACCGTTCTCCCCTCTATCCTCCGTAATAGAGTTTGGTCTCCGTTTCCAACACAGTGTCGTCTCCATTTCCAATAGTAACAGATGGAAGTAACTATATAAACAGCTACTTTTCCGATTCAAATAAATCACAAGTAGGAGACAGCATAAACTCCCTATATTTGGTTCAATTTAAAACAATGTGAAGTTGGCATAAAAAAAAAGAAATAAGTTTAAGTGGTTATTGTTTTTGTACATTTTAGTCAGAGTTGTTACTATTGTCTTAATTAGATAATAGAGCAAATCTTCCAAGATTATTACCCTTTTTGTCCTTTTTAAAATGCTAAAAGAAGTATGGTCTATCCTTCTCTCCAAGACTGGATCCGAAATTTTCTCCACTGCTCTATCGGACTATGGAGATTTTCCAATCCCGATTTCAGTTCCACAAACGTCTGATGCTTGCGATTTAGTGTCCATAAGTTTATATGGATTCAGCCAATTTTGTAAAGCAGATAAACCATGTGGACTGAATGAGCCCAAACATTCACTATACGTAGAAGTATCCAGGATAGACGTTTCTGAAAAAATATGGTCCAACTCCTGCGGATAAACCATGATCTACAATTCGTTTCTGTAGTCACTTTTTCTCTTTATGTAGCCAAAACATTGAAAAATTCGTTTGAATCAAAATTCCCGTTTTACAAAGAAACCAATATGCTCTGAAAGAAGGTTATCCCACCTAATGCCCTCCAGAATGTGGAGTACATTTGTAAAGAAACGATAAGCCAACAATAGAGACACTTGGATATGCGTAACTCAAAGAAAATACCTCTAAAGTGCACGAATACATGTCGACGGCTGAAAGAACCTCAACTCTCTGACCCAAGTTCAAGTTTGCATGCATCTCTGGCGATGAAAGAAGAAACTCTAAGGGAAGCTTGCCCCAAATGCAATTCCCTACAAGTTTATCTAGAACTGACAGCAGTAAATAGCAGATAAATAGCCAAAGAATTGAGTAATGTATCAAGCAGAAACGTGAAAGGTGTCGAACATAACACCACTTTCTGCATCAGAAACAATAAATGAAAGGTGTCCAACAATAGAACGCAACTGCGCATTATCCAGATTTCTCAAGGAGAAACTTCCAGAATCTACACATTATCCCTATATTGATGTTGTAAAGAAGACACATACTAAACTAGTTCATTGTATGAAAAAAGGCATAATACAAGCCAGTACCGGATTCACTTTCAGAAAAATGAGTCTACAACAATATCCAAGGAATTTATCATCTACAATCTGTAATTAGTGGAGCAGCCTTTGGTGTTAATCTACATCTTTAATTGTGCCTCCTCATGAACAAGCATTTGAGAACTCATCATGTGCAAGTATGACTTTTTATGAGGTATGAGAGATAAAAAGGAATGCCGAAAAAAATTCTGATACTGCTAAACAGCTACACTAAACATTCTGTTTGAGGAGACAGCTTCCAAATATACATGAGCAGCGAACGTCAGTCGAAGAGGTGTCATGATCAAAAATCTACCTGATTCTAAACATGCAATGGTATGGAAATCAGTAACATGTAAACGAAATTAAGCGTTCGTTTCCTTGTTCTGCTAATACATTCATCATGGTAAACTGTTGTATTAAAACGATCTCATTCAAACAAAAAAATAATGTTAAAGTGTGTATTTTTCGACAGTCAGAATACCACTGTAAAGGAGGTGAGAGAAGGCAAGAGATAGATATAGAGAGAGAGACAGAAAGTGAGGGGAAGCAGTGTACCGAAGGGAAAGGCCAATATGCAACTGAATTAGTCAAAGATGAATCAAAAAGCATGTAGATTCGAGGAATTAGTGGTATATGCCTCAAAATCCATAAATAAAGGCATTGGAATTCAATGTTTTCTGTGATAAATTCTTCTCCTTCTCATGCATTTCTTATTCTTAAAAATTGTTTTAAGTTACAAAAATAAAATATTTCTCATTAACATGCATGCAGATCGATAATCTGTGCCAGATGTAAACATATTCCCCCATTTTCATCATCCTACTTTGTCTAGAAATGGTATACAAATAGAACAACAAGAGTATCTTCTTCTACATTATTTACAGAGATTCTTCAAGACTTTAGAAATTAACCACTCTTCCAGGGCATGATAGTGAATTAAAGAGCTAAACAGAGGCTTTTATTTTCATTTAACCACAAATACACAAAAAACAGTTCAATTGAAGATTATGGCACTAATTGAAAGGATGCCCCAAGAAAAGTAATACCAAACTTGAGAGCCGTAATAAAGAAAAAATAAATTTTATGAAGTTTTTAAAGCCATGTAATCAAGCTACAAGTTTTGGACTATTTAACTATTACGGCTCAAAATTAAAACTTCATCCCTATTACTTTCAGTCTCCGCTTCTAAGCCAAGAGAAATGGAAAGATTTTGATGTGAGAAACTTCTGCGTAATATGCTATGAAACGTTTTTGTTAGATTAAAACGTGGAATGCTACAAAAACAGACTTGGCATCCATCCCATTTAAGTTATGTTCACTTTTCTCCCTTTTTCAGTTTCTACAGTGGGACATATCAATGTCATTATAGAGCCTAAACATTATATCTTTCATGTTCCATATCTACAAACTAATCATATTCCAGAACGTATCTTAATTAGAAAGCATCTTACTAGCAAATGTCGCGACATCATTTCCATCTCTGGTTGTAGGTCTTTCGCTGGGATCTTCCCCTGCCAGCAAGCCAAAAGTTTTGTTATGCTACTATAGATGAACTCTGAGATATTGACCATCAAATGAGTGTCGTACCATGACTGACAAGAATAATGGTCAGATTCCTAGACCTCATATCAGCAAAGAGCTTCCTGACCTCAGGAACAACGAAATTGGCTTCTACTTGATTACTCCTCCCAAGTTCATTAAAAACATGTAGTTTACACACACGACAGAGATGATAAACTGCTGTGTGCTGTCCACAACAAACATAAGTGAAAGTTCAAAGTTTCATTCAGAGAACAAAAAAAGCAGACAATTGCAGGAAATGTAGACAGTTCTAGAGAAAGAAGATGATATAGTACCTCTGCTTGTGATGTTTCAGTGACAGGTCTTGCCAACAAAATGTACAGGGGGGATAAATTATGTGAATGTAGTTCATCACTCATATTTGCAGAAACTGAGGCAGTTATTCGTATTCTGCATAATGAGTAGTTACAACAAGATTAACAAAGTAAACACCAGAAGATGCAGAGAAATCCAAAAATCCTGGAAAAGAATGAATAAAAACTCAAAAAAGCAAGTTGGAAAACATGTAGCGTCAGATATGGTCTATGGATGACTAAACCTAAGAAGGAACATTTCAATCATTAGTGCCACCATGATACATTAAGCATTGACCCTATTGTTTGGAACATTGAAGTCGAATATGAATCAGCAGAGAATCCCTTCAAACATCATTTCCTCAACCAATCCAACTATCAACGTAATTTTCCAGATGAAACTTATAACCTGACTGGTAAACCAAACAATGAAATGAGGAATTGGATCCACATATTGAGAAGGTAAATTAAACTTCGAAGGAATTTCGAAGATTGTATGCTGATAAGAACTGAAATTATGTTTACTTTCACAACTCATAAACTAGTTGATTCACTTTTCATCAAATCCCGCAACATACAGAGTTGTATTCATACAATCCCAACTCAAGTGTATTTCCTAAAATCTAACTTAAAACCAGATATCTCATGCCCTATATCTTAATTATGTAAAGTTCCATGTCCTAATGAGTAGCGAATACGTTTCAAAGAATAAATACTCCATTCATGTGCCCAAGGTTAGCTGACAATTATGCAACCGTGAAAAGTTTCATTAGTCTAAAATTTAAACCTTTTCAGCACCTACACTTGGAAAATAACATAAAATTCCAACAGTTAATTGATGAGGTTTTACTTGTAATATACTGATGACTTCAATCATATGATAATTAGTCATTCTCCCACCAGATCAATTCAACGAAATAGAAACCATTGGGCCCTCCAATCGTTATTTGTTTTGATTCTGAAACGTGATTTTATGATGACTTCTGATGAAGGGTCTGGCATCCTTCATCATATTTGGACTAACTATCCATTTTAATCTGTAACGTTCTAGTTTCAAATCTGCAGTAGACTGGAAAAATTGATAAGTTCTTGATTCTAGCTCTAACATTCCAATTATTTTTGCCAAACTTTCAAGGAGATCGATTCGGAGAATTATTTTTATGCACTAGCCACAGTATGAAAGAAAGTATTATCAACCCCCCTGTTTCAGCCATAGCACTTTGACAACTTATTTTCATTCAACTTTTTCTTTTGACAGTCCATTGTATAGACTTTATCCCAAAGAATAGCCATTCCTTACTTTCCTAAAGCCAAAATGTCCAGAGCAATGTAAATCTGATAGACCCCTGGATCAGCAAACCAGACTCAACAAACAAGACGATCTATTGAAAAAGTCAGATTTAGATGAAAATAAGATTCAAAGGAAATTTTCCCAGATTAAAAAAGTATATATAGTCTAAACATAAAGCAGAAAACTAAAGAAAATTACTTGGAACTCTAAGTAAGATATAACCTTGAAAAATTAATTGTCATTTTGAAACGGGAGGGATGTAAATGCAGACTACATGAAAGGAATTTGGGAGGCAGGGCAAATATCGGCTTTAGAAATTGGCAACCAGCAGTTCTGAGTTTCTTCCTCTTTTACTCCCTTCAACAACCCTGATCTAGCAAGTGTCACGCTCTCTTTCAACTTTTCTTATTCTGAAAAGAGTGAAAAGCCGAATTGTCCTGGGAATCAACGATTCCAATCAATATCAACCTAGTCTCATTTGTTTACACCTTTTCAATTCCAAACCAACTAATCTTGATTGTGCATGTCGTCAAAGTGTTTGTAACACATCATTCCCTGGACTACTGATCAGAGGTGAATTACAAATCGCAGACCAAATTTAAACAAATCCAAGAACATGCACTGTGAACTGCACAAAAAATAAAATGTTCCACTTGCATGACCTGAGAAGCATAAAAACAGACAATAATCTATCAGAACTTGAAGCATACTAGTCTATGGATACTTGAAAGTCAATGTGGTTCCAAAACGAAAGATAACCTGGAGAATCGATCTGCACAAAATGGAAACAAGATTTATCTTCATTGTGAAGACTGTTCATCATAATAGGGCCACCAAAAAATTATCTTGAGTCAAGATAATATTATCTATTCTCATTTCCAACCTGCCCATAGCTGGCGTGCAGATATCTATTCCACCAAACCCCAGTCAGATTTACATATACCAAATGTGATCATTGACACTGACTGAAATTTCTTCACCTGGCATAGGATATCGTACTTAAAAGATCCAAGAGTCTCTCTAAAAAAATTTAAAAGATATCTTCCAAATATTGAATTTGAATTTCTTAGCCTCATCAGTTAATGCAAGATACAATTGATGAAGAAACAAAAAATCAAAACCAAACGTTGGAATGCAGTCAGTCTCATCAAATACTGTATGCACTTGTACGGAAACAAATATTACTCAACCTTAATGATCAGGAAAACTCAGATTTCAATTAAAACAAGAAAACAAAACACAAGAAAGAAATTAAACCAAGAGTTCCTCAAAGGCTTGCTCCTCATAAAAGAAAGAATGCAACATAACTGTGGTCCAATAATATAAGACACTTAATGAAATTAAGCAACAAAATAGTTCAACTGAATAATTATAGATTTAAGAAAGCACCTGTGCTTGTGCCTTGCTTGTATTCTGTAGCGTAGACATCTTTGAAGAAATAGTGGCTGTAAATAGAGCAGCATTATTTTAGAAAGAGAACCAAATAGGCCACATAGACCAAACACAACAAACATTGACAACAGGAAGTCCCACCAACCATAGTGAAAAAAAGTTCAAAAAAAAAAAAACAAATGGAACCTATTTCAGTGCTGCCATTCATATTGTGGTTACTGCCCTAACTATGCAGTTTGGCCCCCGTGAGAGGTGATGAGCTAAGGCATGACAAGAATGGGGACTAGAGAGCTAGGAGGCTTCACTCTTCCTCACTCAACCTCCCTGCAATCAAGGCTGCAAAACTGAAAAGCCTTGCACAGGGCCATCCGCAACACCTCATCCTGCCAAGGGGGTAACACAGGCATGACAAGCCTTACATGAGATAACAGTACCTCAACCAAATGCCAATGCAGGACACAGAACTCCTCACCGGTCTCACATATATCACATCCCCCATCAAACGTTCTGGATCGAACCCTATCTTGTCCCCACTCACGGGCCATGTTGAATGCCGGGCAACCAACACTATCAGGCAAACCTCGTCAGGCAAACAAGCCAGTATGAGCTTCCCAAACCACAAGATCTGCGGAAACGAAAGCTACAATAGCACGCCACTACACTGGCCACAAGTGGCACAAACACCTCAATTTCTGGTGCCTAGTTTGACCATACCATCTCCCGCATAGTTCTCTCCACAACGCCCTTCAACATGACCTCTAAGATCATATCTGTTTGCTCACAGAACTGCATTCTAGCTCGTGAGGTAACTAAATGAACCATTTCAAACAATCGCCAGTCTATATTATTTATTTCGCTAGAATGCACCCCTCTTGTGACACAGCAGAAAACCATCAATGATGCTGATTCAGTCTAATCATTCTAGGAGCTCCCCCCACCCAGTAACTGCAAGTCTTCGATGGTCACCAATTAGAAGTCAGATTTTGGTGATTATGGAGGCGACAGAATTTTAGAAGACAGTGAATTCTCTTGCACACCTATGTGTTCAATGGAAGTGAAACAATTGAAAAAAAAATATACACAGGTCATCAAACGAGCCATCCTATCACCGGTTAAATTGGGTACATGCCATAGAGTTTAGCAGCGAGAATTTAACATGAATGTGAACAAAGTTGTGAGCAATAGCAACTAAAGATCAGAAAAAAGAGGCAGTTTCATACTTCAATGACAAAGGGTTACAGAATGGAAGAAACAATACTTGATTTGCCCTTTATTTTCAACAAATGAAAATTATAGCCACTTGGTCTCTGCATGATTTTCAACTTTCTCCAACATAAATGAAATCTTAATGCGTGCAAAACTCTTCACACAGGTTACCGTGGCAAAGCAAGAATCATTAGAAGCGAGTAGGCCTCCACATATCTGAACTAATGAAACATGCAGCACCTTACAATGGATCTTTGCATTGTCATAGAATTGACGAATATCTCAAGCGTTTAAAAAAATTCCAAGGATCTGATAACCGTGAAATACATATTGAAGATCAAGACTAATTATGCATACCAGATTTCCTAAAACCCTACACTTCCAAATGAACATTATTGGTTCGCTCATGTAAATGATGTATACAAAGCCTTTACTAAAAGTATCAAAAATATGTTGCACAAACATTTTAAAACACGATGTGAGAACCTAGATGAACCAAAAATTGTAAAAAATTAACATGAAATATCAACAAAAGTGATGGGAGATGTTTTCTATGAAAATATATTCAGAGCCTGAACTAAATACTTACATTGTATAAAGCACGACGCAAAAGAATATTATAGAGCTCTACTGGTTTGCAATAGACTGACAGACTTTCCTCAGCAGCGAGAGCCTCTTCAGGACTCAAGTTGTTCCGGAAGTTCTGGCGGCACATTTGGTCAGCCGTCCTGGAACGGCTGCAGCTGCATCAATGAATAAATGAATATATAAAAAGAGTTTCAGTGATTTCACAATTTACAGAATTTTAGTAGACGCAGTGGGTCTAACTAAGTAACTATGTCATAGAGAACTAGAATTGGCAGAGTTAAACTGAGCTGATTCTACAGAAGTAGACAAGAAATTCATACGTCGTTTCACGAGCCACCAAGGGTAATCCAGGCATTCTTCCGCGCAGATTTCTGGAGACAAGCAAAACTCATGCCGTTCCCAGACTGCAGACGAGAGTCAGAGCAATCCCCGCTGAGTCGTCGCACATCCTGTCAATTCATCAATCCCCCAAGTACCGCCGACTTCTGAGGGGTTTCTCAAATAGCTTGAAGAAATTGATGAAAACCTTTGGATAAAAGATACAAGGTTAATAAGAATAGCTGGAGGGAAGTCGATCGTTCTTCGCGACGTACTGAAGCGCTCAAAGATTATAAAACCCTCCTTCCACCCAAAGGAAAACGAGTGCCGGCTTACAGGCCAAATGGAGGTTGAAAGATAATATGATATAAATGTCGCCCCTCACCCAGGCCAGAGACCGCAATTGCAAGAAATTAAGCGCAAAGCAACGAAAAATCAAGGAATAATTCTTTTCCTCAAAGAAATCTACGCGCTGAAAACGACATATACAATCAGGAGCCCTTTTCCACCGAGGAAGAGCCACACGGATGGTCGCGCCGCTAAGATGCGAGGAGCAAATGCACGGAACCGAACAAATAGTAGTCATCCTCGTCCACACCGGATTTCTCACCAGACTCGCTGCTGCGGAAGCAGGACAGCTGAAATCTCTGGAAGAGATGAGGCGTACCTCCGCCTTCAGAAGAGTCCCCCGCACTGCCCGAAGGACGTTCTGTTGAGATCCATCTGCGAAGGGAAACCTCCGCCCGCCCTCCAGCAGAGCATAACAATTTGTTTCGTTTCGAGGAGGTGCGATCTCTCTTTCGGATTTCGGATCTCCGCGACCACTGCTCCGTATCAAGCGACCCTCCCCTGCCCGTTTTAGGATCCGACGGTCTCGGTCATCGCCGCGTGCAGCCCGGACGTAGTAGACCAGATGGTCTCGTAGATCAACAAAAATGGCAACTTTGTATTGATGGGGCTCCACGCGGCAGATTTAGAAGATTGTTTCTGACTCTTTGATGTCTGTACACATCAAAAGGTCGTTCCAAGGACTACATAAGAGTTATTTAAGGACATAAATGACGATTTTATATTTATGAGCCGTTAGGGGGATGCAACTTCTTGCACAACTGTGCAAGATGGTTGAAGTCAGCCTTCCATACTTTTTTGTTGGTTTTGAAGAGAAACCAAGAGGTGGATTGCTATTTTTAGGTTATTTTCTACTTCATTGTCTGAGAAAAACTGTCCTTGGGTTATATCAAAACTTTAATGAAATATGCTTAGTATTAAGGTATCACCAAATATTCACATTGAACAACGTAGTCATGACAAATCTCCACTAAATAAAAAGGTCTAAGTAATCACCTATTGAACACAAAGACCTCAACGAGCCCAAATGCTAAACATAGAGGCTTCGACGAGCTGATCTACTAAAACACTGAAGCCTTAGTATGCTTGTTTGTTGAACACTACAGCATTAGCTTAGTTGTTCAGCCCTATAGTCTCAACAAACCTATCTTTTGAACATTCTGACCTTAGTGAGAGTCTTTAAAATTTGAAAATCATAGGAAGTCTACATTGGATTTATCAGCTTCGAGAACCAAATAACATGTCATGCTAAAGGAAAGAAAAGCTTCTATTGCTTGTTTTCCTTTGATGAAAGATGTGGAACTATTTGATGCGTGATGGAGTATTTGATAATTTAAGCAACTAATGTGTAGAAGTAGCTAATCCTCTAGTTATTACATCTATGTTTGAAGATTAAGCTTCAGATAACATTTGTTATTATAGTAAAAATCTTAATAACTTGATAAGTTCAAATTTTTATGTGCCATTTTTTGAATTGTGTTATTCTTTCAATTAAGGTTTCATCACAATGTAAGATGTTACATCTATACTTGAAACTTAAGCTTCATAAAACATTTGTTCTTCTTATAAAATTTATAATAAATTTAATTTTAAAACTTTATATGTCACTTATTTCATGTTCTTATTTCAATTATCTTTCCATTGAATATTGTAGCTCGACAAAAATTGCATCTAAAAAATGGATCAATCATTTGAGGTCAATATATAGACAATTTTTCCCTTAGGCATATTTTGCATCAGGAGATATAGTTATATTATTATGAAATTACAATTATATTTTGAGATATAGCCTTATGAGCAAGCTCTAAGAATAATTAGAGATGCTTTGGAGTGGGAAGCATAGAATCTCATTCACTTCTTCATTTGTGAATTTATGATTAGTGTGTTTAAACATTAATCATGTAAAAATTAATCATATATATTTATCTAGTTTATTTGTTAACACACAAATTTCTTATCCTATCAAATGGATATAGTGGGAAATTGGAGGAACTCTAATATTTTAGATTCACAACACTATGGGATCAAAATAAGAGGAGAACCTCTTCTTGTGCAAGCTTAAGTTTTGAGGATGTGGTGTTTGCCCTTGATTTTTTCATTTTTTTTTGCCCTGGATCTTAAAATATTTGTGGATCCTCTCTACATTTGTATTAAACAGTGTTCCATTTTTGCTATGAAATCATCCATTGATATCAAGGTTTTCTAATTGAAAATTATGGTAGAAAATTGGTCTTTTTGTGGGACTTGACATGCCACAATGCCAAACTTAATGTTTTCTTCTCTTTACTCTTGTGCTGACATTTGTCTATGCTTGAATTAGGGGATACAAAAGTTTTTATCTCCTCTTGTATTAAACAAATGTGTAATATATTAAATAAATTGTTCAAATAAATGGAATTTTTCATAATAAAAAATATTTATTAGGGGAAAGAATATTCAATTTAGCTTTTGATGTAAAATAACTATTTTATCATTGGTCTTGGCTTTCCTAATTTGAATACTTTCCTCATTTATTATGATCATCAAAGTACATAATTAAATAATATTAATCTATATTAATAAATATCTTTTAATATGTTTTGTTCATCATCACAATATGATTGGCTGCTAAGGTCAACATACATAGTGGATGTTTAACCTTTATAAATTGAGAGGCATGATTGGTTCATCTTCATTAGATTTTTATTTAGGCCAAGTTATAGAAAAATAAGTTTGAGGAAAAAGTATCTTCAAGGGTTAACACCCTCTGTCCATATGAAATATATGTTTCTAATACTTCTACCATGTTCACATAGTTATTTACATTATGACATCATAATGTCTTCCCACAAATCACACTAATTATATTTTTGATTCAATAGGCAATTAACTAGATCAAAAATCCTAGTAAATCCTAATGATAGATTTATAGAATTATGTCCAACCAACCTCTATAAAAGCTTCCTTCAATCATATATTTTCAATGTTTTAAGTAGGGGTTGTTAACATATCATTTTTTAAGGATAACAAGGGATAGGTGATTAAAAAATTACCATTGTAACCTAAATCAAAGTTAATGAAATTTAGTGAAAAAACTCCAAAATAGATTTTAGAAACATTTTAGATTTTTTATTTAAATCTATATATTAACCTTAAAAAAATATGTTTAAATCCTTTGATTATAATCTAACATGATATCCAAGTCATGACCTTGATAAATATTTTTTGTTTCTTTTTGTTTTTCTCTCTTTCTTGTAGTCAAAAGTTTATTGGATGTAATGGGCCAGTCACAATCGGCCCATGATGAAGGCCAATTAAGCCATGGTTTAAATTTGATAAGAGAAGGAGAGGGAAAAGGGGGAAAACCTTGGTGGGAGTTAGGGCACGTAGCCTCCATGACCACTCCCCTCCATGTGGTGAGAGTGATAGTGGCAGATGATGATGTGATGGCAAGCTCTTACCTAGTTATAAGTTTTACAAGGTGACACGATAAAGAGGACAACACAATAGAAGAACAAGAACCCCCTCCAATTTACATACTTTTATTATGAGTTGGTGATTGTATTTCAATTTGTGTCCTCCCTCCTTTGATTCTTGGTTGACCCAAAAGTCAAAGGAAAGCTTTTCTCTCCAACTTTCATTATCTACTAAGTGACACAATGGAGAACAAAGACTCATTATTGTCTTCTTACAATATTTTAATGATGTTGACTTGATACACATTACTCCTCTTTAGAATCCCCATGTGACACAAAATCTGTAATAGATTATTTTCTCTAGTTCTACTCTTTTTCTTACATTCCTAATTTCTTCCATGTTCTTATCCATTGAGTGGGTGAAACATATGATGGAGAGGAATTGATTCCTTATTTTCTTAATTGAGGAAAATAAACTCAGAGAAAAATATTCCTCTAATATTATAACCTAAATTGGATATCAAAGTGACCTTTGAACATCTGTAAATTTACTTCATATCATCAAACATTATTTATGGTTCAACACATAAGTTCACATATAAGTGAAAGAGGACATCAAGTCCAAGATGAAGGAAAAAGAGGGGGGAGGGAGTGATTTACTTGTTAGAGCACACCCCAATCAAGAAAGGGTGAATCTTTTCTATAATTGTAAAGACAATTCACCAAATTAATAATTTATAAATATTATAAAATAAGCTAATTTATGATAATTTAATTTTCTAAGGGTTTTCCAAGTTGAACATAAGGATGATAAAAAACAATTCTAATTATATTTATAATTTATAATGGATAAATTATTTTTTTATAATTTTAATTATGAAACTTAATAAAAATACTTTAACATAAAAAAATGAGAGATTCTGATGTCAACTGACATCAGCCTATGAAGAACATCCTCAAATTCAAGTCATCATAAATACGTCAACTCATATTTCTCAAAATCAAAGCTAAAATACTTTGAAATAAATTATGATTTCAAAAGAGAAATTGTTTGTAAACATAATGTAGAACTAAATAGAACTTTTTATAAATGTAAAATAAATTAAATTATGCAAAGATTCAAGTTTTACAAATGAATGGGCGAAATAGTCATCGATCAAATTTTCACTCAAATTCAATTGATTTGTGCAGGCATGGTGCACCAAATGGATTCCTACACATCTCGAGTCAATGAATGATAATGCTAGAAATTGTCACTTGATGTAACCAATTGATGGTGGTGGTTTGACTCTGAGCGTGCCACAACATTCAAAGAAGGATCTTTGGAAGAAATTCTTTCTCGTTTGTATCAAGCAAAGAACATAATGAGTTCATGCATAAAATTCAACTTCTATAGGGGCTAAATCAAGGAGAAATCAAGATTAAATAAAGCATTTGTATTAGATGAATGATTTTGGTGAATCTTACATTCATCATCACTAGAGGAGAGAGAAAATAATTGTGGAGAATGCTAAATTCATTGAAGATTCTCCATTCTTTTTGTCCCAACATTTTTCCATCTTCATGTGCATTAATTTTGTCGATTTCGTCGAATCATCAGTTGTACTTCTCGATGTATTTGGTATGTCCATTATTGATGCAGAAAATCGAAAAAAAGAAATTAGTATTATATTTTAAATTTTTATTATATTATAATTATTTATCATAAATGCTCAAAAAAATCAAGAAAATTTACAAAAAAATCATAAATTTAATTAACATAAAAGCATTTTGATAATAATATTAATCATTGGTAAAACTATCAAAATATTTCATAGTCAATTTCATCATGTAATTTTTAGAAACTAATAATATAATCATATAAATAAGTCTAATATTATTTTTTTGATATTAAAGTAATTTATAAATATTTTTTGTAAAATTAAATTATAAATTAATAATTATTAAGAATTTTATCATGTAATTAATGAGAATTATCAGGCCTAATTTTTTATTATTGAATGATCATTTAAATTTTTTTTAAAAATCATTAGGTAGCAAAAGAATGTATCCCCAAAGTTCCCAAGAAGGAAAAATCATTTAAAATGTCAAATTAAGAATCAAACAAGGGCAAAGACTTCCTTAACAAGGTACTTTCATGCTATTGACATAAATTAAACCCTCTTAAAGTAATGAGCTGCCACACCTAGAACAACAACTCATCACATTTGTATTATATTACTTTTGCTGCTCAAGTTGATAGAGAATCTAAATCTTGAAAGGGTTAACTGTGTACTAATCCATTTAACTATGTACTAGTTGTGAATCAAGAGAAGTCCCATCAGAATTTAGAATCTAGAAGAGAGTAGATCTTTATTTATCTTTGTTACAGTTATAAATCTAAATGTGAGTTTTTAAGTGAAATGATTGAGTTGATTATAGTTATTGAGTCTAGTGAAGACTAACAAGGCCTTTTTATGTTCAATCTAATCTTAATGAGAAACTAGTCTAAGTATATGGTCCTTATAGTGTAGAGTAAGCCATGGAAGTTGAATTGATATAAATCTTGTGTATGGGTAAATCCAAAAAAATATTAGGAAAATCTTTGACATCACAAAAAATTCAATTCGCCTCCCCTCTTAAATCTCCATTTCATCATATCATATTCAATATACCTTAATTCTTTGTTTCAACAAAGTGTCATATTTCAAACTATTAAAAGGACTAGTTTTAGAATAGGTAAATGGTAAAAATAATTAAAATTTGAAATTTATTATTTGACTCAAAATTGGGCCACTAATTCTTTTAAGTTTTCTAAGAGATTTAACCTTTTATGTGTGGTAAAAAAGATTAATAATGACATAAAATAATCCATTTTAGGTCATTTATATTTAATTCATTTTAAAAAACATTTTCTAGTATGCAAAACAGGAAAGTTGACTTACTCAATTCTCATGAAATCATCAATCAAATCATTTGTCTTTGTTTCAGCAAAAGAACCTTCATTACCTTTTATAGAAATATTTTGTTCTAGGTCCAAATTAAATACTAATAAAGCCCAAACTAATGAAATACTTGCATGATTAATTCCTCAAATTGGCTTGCCATTTTCATAAATGATAAATTGACGACTAAAGTTGGAAGCTATCCATCCCCTTCTTACAGAATATCTTTTTGAAAAAAAATATTGATCAATTTCTTCCATTCGTTGTGGGTCAAATTAATCCAAAATGCTTCTTCCTAGTTGGTGTGTGATCCATTGGACATATGTTCAATTTTTCATTTTTATTCCTTAGAATTAAAATATCTCATTTCTAATTTTATCAAATTGCCACCATGCTTGGATATCCCCAAAAGGTATTTTGAGTTCAATACCCTCTTTTTTTTTCTCCACTCTCACCAATCCACCTCCTATACTTCTTGTATTAACATTGAGTGGTGTATCCATTCCAATAACAATATTTGTTTGAACCACCACCTTCTGGACAATGAAAGGAATCATTCCACTTTAATTTGGTATCTTGGACTTCATTCATTCCACCTCCTCCGATTATTGAACCAATGTCTATAGTTGATATATTATAGTATTGGGGCAAAATAAGAAAGAATACTATTACCATAGAGCTAATTGAAAAAGGTTTTGCTTTATTTGGAAGCATCTCCCTCTCAAGTTTCCTGTTTAGGCAATGATTTTAGGCCCAAATTGGGAAGAAAATGGGTATTAAAATAATTAGCTTATGAAGCCCATTGACTCCCACGGGGAAAGCCCAATACATTTTCCTGAGTTTAAATAGACAGGAATTCAAGGAAAAAACCTTCCCAACTTGTGCGTCAATTATCTGGACTGGAATCTTGTCCAGGTTAGGAAAGGCTTTGGCCCTACTAATCTGTGAGAAACGGAGCCTGAGCCCGTTCCCAGCAGCTAACCTTTTCCGCAGGACGAGAGGATGCTATTCCCTAGCCTCAGAAATGCGTTGTGTTGGTACACGTTAAGAAAATGTGTTCCGCGAGACAATACATTCTCATCCCGCTCGATTTCCATTCGGAATTTTTATTCTCAAGCAGGAAGCTTCTGGAAACCGTTGCGAGAGGCGAATTCGCAAGGAAGCCCACCTAATGACAGAGGACTCTCTAGAAACAACGTTGTAGAAGGACCTAGAAGCACCTTCCTTCTTGTATAAATTCTACCAGCAAGCCTCGCCTGCGACCGCGTACAGAATTGGTGCTCTTTCTTCTGCTTCTCTTGCGCTTGTCTTCACAACTTCGTTCTTCCATCTTTGTGCAATGGCTGACGTGCAAATGGCGGGGGAGACGGAGACGTTCGCCTTCCAGGCGGAGATCAACCAGCTCCTCAGTCTCATCATCAATACCTTCTATTCAAACAAGGAGATCTTCCTCCGGGAGCTGATCAGCAACTCTTCAGATGTACTCCTTCTTACTTCCCATTTACCTCTCTTATCTGCTAATTCATCGTAAACAGTTTCTTCGTGTTTTGGTTTCACCTGATTTTGCTTAATTTATTTCCATTAATTGTTGATATACTTGTTCAGGCATTGGACAAGATCCGCTTCGAGAGCTTGACGGACAAGAGTAAGTTGGATGGCCAGCCGGAACTCTTTATCCGGCTTGTTCCCGACAAAGCCAACAAGACGCTGTCCATAATTGACAGCGGTATCGGCATGACCAAGGCCGGTGAGTGTGATGCTTTGATTCAGCAGACTGTCTTCATTTCCTTCACAGCCGCATCGTGTTTAAGTCATCCGTTGCGATCGGGAAGAATTACATCCTGGATCGAACGCTAAATTGTCACGCGGAATCCGAGTAATTTCTGAGGTTCTAATTTTCAATGTGCTTGCTTCAACGTTGGCATGCTTCGAACGGTGACCTCAGCTTCGATTTTAGACGGACACGACATTTGTGTTTCCAAGATATTTTCATTGTTTATTAATCTCTGTAGTTTGCTTTTTCTCTCGTTGCTTCTTCGCAATGGAGAAATTGATCTCTGTTTTGTCCTTGTCGCTTCCACCCTGTGACGCAGTGCTCACTGCATTGCTCGTTTAGAGGGTCCAATAACTTGTTCAACCTTTAGTCGTTCAGTATTATTGAGCCGGATCTCTGTAAGAGTCAGGGAATTCTCACAAATTATGGAAAAGTCTGGCAGGCAATGAAAGCAACGGTTCATCTTTGGCAATTCTAACTAGGGTTTAATATTTAGGTTTCTTGTCATGTTGGTTCTCTTGTATCACGCAAGATTATTAATAGTCTGCACCCATTTGCAGATTTGGTCAACAACTTGGGAACAATTGCCAGGTCTGGGACGAAAGAATTCATGGAGGCCCTGCAAGCTGGGGCAGATGTGAGCATGATCGGCCAATTTGGTGTGGGATTCTATTCAGCGTACTTGGTTGCTGAGAAGGTCGTCGTGACCACCAAACACAACGATGATGAGCAGTATATCTGGGAATCTCAGGCAGGAGGCTCTTTTTCAGTGACCAGGGATGTTGATGGAGAACAGCTTGGCAGAGGAACCAAAATCACTCTATTTCTCAAGGAGGATCAGGTAATTTCTTCTTTCTCTGTATTCATTAATCGTACAGTTCACTAGTTTCTTCATGAGGTAGTAATTCTCAATGTACAATTTACGTGCAGCTCGATTACTTGGAGGAGAGGAGGATTAAAGATCTAGTGAAGAAGCACTCAGAATTCATCAGCTATCCGATCTCTCTCTGGACAGAAAAGACCACGGAAAAGGAAATCAGTGATGACGAGGAGGACACTAAGAAAGAAGAGGAAGGTGATGTGGAAGAAGTGGACGAGGAGGACACTAAGAAATCCAAGAAGAAGAAGGTGAAGGAAGTGTCTCACGAATGGTCGGTCATTAACAAGCAGAAGCCGATCTGGCTACGGAAGCCGGAGGAGATCACCAAAGATGAGTATGCATCTTTCTACAAAAGCTTGACAAACGACTGGGAAGACCACCTTGCTGTCAAACACTTCTCTGTTGAGGGGCAACTCGAGTTTAAGGCCATCCTCTTCGTTCCCAAGAGGGCTCCATTTGATCTCTTCGACACTAGGAAGAAGATGAATAATATCAAGCTATATGTTCGGAGAGTCTTTATTATGGACAACTGCGAGGAGCTCATTCCCGAGTATCTGGGATTTGTCAAGGGAGTCGTCGATTCGGATGACTTGCCCCTGAACATTTCTCGTGAGATGCTCCAGCAGAACAAGATCCTTAAGGTCATCAGGAAGAATCTTATTAAGAAATGCCTTGAGATGTTTGCAGAGATTGCAGAGAACAAGGATGATTACAACAAATTCTACGAAGCCTTCGCTAAAAATCTGAAGTTGGGCATCCACGAAGACAGCCAAAACAGAGCGAAGCTGGCCGACCTTCTCCGCTACCACTCCACTAAAAGTGGTGAGGACATGACAAGTCTCAAGGATTATGTCACGAGGATGAAGGAAGGCCAGAAGGACATCTACTACATCACCGGTGAGAGCAAGAAGGCCGTGGAGAACTCCCCCTTCCTCGAGAGACTGAAGAAGAAGGGCTACGAGGTTCTCTTCATGGTCGATGCCATTGACGAGTATGCAGTGGGTCAGTTGAAGGAATATGACAGCAAGAAGTTAGTTTCTGCAACGAAGGAGGGTCTCAAGCTGGAGGAGACGGAAGAGGAGAAGAAGAAAAGGGAGGAGAAGAAGACAGCCTTCGAGAACCTTTGTAAGACAATGAAGGACATTTTAGGCGACAAGGTGGAGAAGGTTGTGGTCTCGGACAGGATCGTCGACTCTCCCTGCTGTCTGGTCACCGGCGAGTATGGCTGGACGGCCAACATGGAGAGAATAATGAAGGCCCAGGCGCTGAGAGACAGCAGCATGAGTTCCTACATGTCGAGCAAGAAGACGATGGAGATCAACCCAGAGAACGGTATAATGGAAGAGTTGAGGAAGAGGGCGGAAGTCGACAAGAACGACAAGTCGGTGAAAGATCTTGTACTGCTGCTGTTCGAGACCGCCCTGCTCACTTCCGGATTCAGCCTGGACGACCCCAACACCTTTGCAGGGAGGATTCACAGGATGCTGAAGCTGGGCCTCAGCATCGATGAGGATGAAACTGCAGCGGACGACACTGAAATGCCGGCACTCGAGGAGAACGGGAACGAGGAAAGCAAGATGGAGGAAGTAGATTGAGGGGATCGAGCTGCTCTCCTTCCCTTTGGTCACTCACTTTGAAGGCGCTCTTCTTGGCTTATATACTCGGGTCGTCTTTTTCCTTCCTCTTCTCTTTTTCCCTTTGGCCAACGATCGGACTTGCATTGAATTTGATGTAAGGCAGCTTGTTGGTTCCTCCAATCCGTTTAACTGTAATGCTTTGTCCATCTCTCCCTCTCTCTCTCTCCCCCCCTCCCTCTCTCTCTCTCTCTCTCTCTCTCTCTCTCTCTCTCTTCCCCTCCCTCTCTCTCTCTCTTCCCCTCCCTCCCTCTCCCTCTCTAATAACGAGCAAGGGGAACTTTCATGAGGCGGTCACTCGAAAAACTGCACAATGGCCGCCGCTCGATTGTCTTCTGAAGTAAGAATCACCGATGTGGTTACACACTACGAGATTCCAAGTACCACATCGACCTGAAACTTATACAATAAGTGTGTAATTTTGTTGAGATCTTTGACATACAATGAAGGTAGAGAGAGAGAGAGAGAGAATAGATACTGAATGAGGGCAGAGAGAGAGAGAGAGATAATAGATATAGAGTGTAGAGAGAGAGGGAATAGATATAGATTGAGGGTAGAAATAGGAGTCACCGGTGTGGATACACACTAATAATGTGTATAATCTTTTTGAGACGCATTCAATGTGATAGTTAATAGTCGCGCTAAAAGTCATATGTATCTGGTCATGAATGCCTAGAATTAGGGTCTATAGATCAAGGACTTTGTCCCACATCAGAAGCTAATAACGAACAAAGCCACAAAAACTCATCTAACATCCACAATATTACAAGTAAGAGCCTGAAATTGTGGGAGAGCCGATGCTACTCGACACTTTCAAACATGTTAATTGGTAAAAGATCTAGAGCTGCCCTAACTACTTAAGGAAAGATCTAAGCCCACTCAACTCTATGAAGATCTCCAACTATATCTCTAGTGTACACTCAACAAATAGCTGCATACTAAGATAACAATGTAGAGCTTAATTATTATGATATGGAATTGTGTACGGTACAATTTTTTTAGTAAACACATTTACACTTGATTTGTGGGCTGAACCCTAAAAGGGTAATGGTGCAATAATTGCTTAAGAGCAATCTTATTGATAACCCTATGAGCATATGGGAAAGCTTTTCACTTAAGTTGAAGGAAAAATTACTCTAAATTGCATGTATGTTGATTTGTTTTCTGTGTGTTCTCTAGTTTTGTGTATGTCTATTATGTTCTAGTCACCAATGGTTGATTTACCTCAATTAGATAAAATATTTAAATTATAATCTTAAATATTTAGCTATATTATTTTTACTTATGCTGAATATTTCTTTGAAAATTTTAAAAATAGACCATAAGTAATATGGCATTGAATTATGCAGGTTAATTTTGTACAACACTCGATTGGGTCTGTGTACCCTGCTCTAGATTGTACTTACATCTAATCTCCTTCAAGTAGCACATTTATTTTAGTTTATTTTATTGATTAATTGTTATGCGGAGAAGTTGAGCCAATGTTTTACAAAATTGCTAAAGTATATTATTTATTCTAAATGAATAATTAATGATGATGATTCGTTCATTTTTTTCAAAAAAGTGGAATAATCTAGAGTAATTGAAGATTATCTATAATAGTGACTTGAATTTTTTTTAAAAAATACCCATTAGAATTATTTTTTTTGCAACGTTCAAGTTTCTACATATGTGATTAAAATATTTCACAAAAAAATTAGTTTTCTATGAGATGAACAAAAGATTCTAGCTCTAAGCACCATTATGAGACAATTCAACCTGTTTCTCATTTACTCTAATTTATCATAATAACAACAGATTCAAAAGCTAAAAAAATACCATTTGTGGAAACTTCATCAACTTCAAAGGTGGTGTGTATGTAAAAGGTTAGATGGAGCTGATTGAAAGTGAAGAGGTTTGCGTTTTATTGTCACAAGAGTCACCACTAAGGCATCTTAAAATCATTTTTCCATGTAATCTAGTCGTCCACAAAACTAAATTAAAATAGATAAAATAAAGGAAAAAAATGATTTTCCATTGTATATTAAGATTATTACCATAAAAATCCGAAGCTGCAACGAAGACTCAACAGGATCTACAAATTCGTTGAAATATGACGGTTTTATCGAATTAAGATGGCTATTTGGGGCATGACTTGTCCTTTCTGTAACTCCGGTCAAAATGAACGCCCGGCCAAAGTGGAAACTTTGACCGCTTCTGGGGGACTGTATATAAAGCATCGGGATTCGGGACAGCCAGGGACAATATACAACCGGGGACGCCCGGTTCGGTCAACTCCGGTCCGGTGGACTGGCCCTTGACAGGCTTTAATGCCCCTGTGGCAGCAGAACCGTTGCTTTGGCTTCGGGCGAGAGGAAGGCAACGGTAACAAATATAGTATAAATGGCGGGTATGAAAAAAATCCGTCAGAGAGAGAGAGAGAGATGGGGGCGGGGGAGGAGGGAGTGAGTTCCAAGAAAGCAAAAGCGAAAGCGAAAGCCGCGACGTCTATGGATTAGCAAAAGCAGCACCTGTCCTCTTTCCTCTCTCTCTCTCTCTAACGGATTCTGTGTCCATTTAGTGGACACTCTCCGGGGGCACCTGTGATTCTCTCTTTCCTCTTCCCACAGTTGTACAGAGAGAGAGTAGGCGAGTGTCGACGAGGCACTGGAGCAGCATTAGAGTGGAGAGATCTGAGGCAGCCTGGATTTATCCTACCATCGGGCGCAGACGTGTTCTCCTCTAGATCGTGCTCTGTTGCTCGCTAACGGTCTCGGAGTGGTTCAGATGTTTGTTCTCCAAGTATGCTCTCAACTCTTGCCCGTTTCTCTTATTCTTTTCCTTTGTCTTGCGTCCTCTTCTGACTTGTTTCGAGATAATCCTTTGATGTGTATTAAGTTCATCCGTCTACTATTTATTTCGTAAATTTTGTTCTTCCATTCTTCTGTGAAATCAGTGCCTATTGACGTCTTATGTTGCTCTCATGGGCATGCAGATTTTCCTTCTCCTTCCGATTAAGGAATTGTGAATGTGCCTAATGAGCCTCCCAATTATTGCAGAGGCTCTGCGGGTGCTGAGAATTACTACATTTAGTTGAGGATTCTCTCAAGCGCTTAGGCCTGGGAAATAAAAAGAGCTTCAGGGGCGGGCCGACTGTCTGGCAAGACTGTGGAGCATTTGGTGCATCTGACCGCATTTCACTATTATACACCCTAACCATGTGAATCTGGTTGTTTCTTTTGGTGGTAATTTCGTGCATTCTCCGTCTGGTTAGATCAAATCATCCGGTTACGTTGTTGTTGGCGGTTTAGGGTCTGAGGGTGACTTTGTATCGGTGATTCTGGGTGAAGCCAGAGCCCTTATTGATGGATCGGAACCCTGGAGCCAAGAAGGTTACAGGGACCCCGGCAACTGATAATTTATTTCCAAGATCTGTGAGAGAACAATGGCTGCCGCATTTTCCTGCACATATTTCTCACTTTTCAGGGGTAGCTGCTCCACTCACCAAAACATGGAAGGGAAAGGGATTTGCGCAAGAATTTGAGTTGAACCCCGAGATTATTGCATTGAAGGATGATGATATGTTAGAGGGAGTAGGCCCTAGTTCTTTTTCTGGGGCTAGCCATCCACCAGAACCTGTTGATACTGATCTGATGAGGCCTGTCTATGTGGCAATAGATCAAAAGCAATTGGACGGAGGTTTCTTGAAAAAACAACCGTCTATGAAAGATCCTTGCATTGAAGATCTTTCGATCATGGTTCCTGATGTGAAGCTTGGTGCAGCTTCTGCTTCACCCAGAGAAAGCATGGTTGAGCATGATGAATCAGGTGCAGCATCATCTCCATTCGTTGCCCCTTCTGGATTGCAAGCTACAGACAGTCCTCTTTGTCTGCCAGATTCGGAAGAAAAGGAATGCATATGGGATTCCTCACTACCGCCCAGTGGGAACGTCAGCCCTCTTAGCAGCATCAACAGTGCTGGCATTTTTACAGCTGCAAGTACTGTGAACAGCTGCTGCACAAGCATATGTAGAAGTGACGGCATTACCAGTGATGGTTTGCTTAGTATGGAGAGAAACTGTGGAAGCACAAAAGGAAGCAGAAGAACGGAGTCATTGGAAAGTGGGAAGACTAGTCTGAGCAGACGAAGTGATAGCAGTGGCCTCAGTGATGATAGTAATTGGAGCAATTTTACTGGAAGTGCAAATAAGCCTCACAAGGGCAATGATTTGAGATGGAAGGCCATTTTGGCCGTTCGCTCCAGGGATGGCATACTAGGAATGGGTCACTTTCGGTTACTCAAGCGGCTGGGTTGTGGTGATATTGGTAGTGTGTATCTTTCAGAGTTGAGCGGCACCAAGTGCCCCTTTGCAATGAAGGTCATGGACAAGGCTTCCCTTGCAAGCAGGAAGAAACTGATGAGGGCTCATACAGAGAGGGAGATTCTTCAGCTGCTGGATCACCCATTCCTCCCAACTTTATACACCCATTTCGAGACCGATAGGTTTACATGTTTGGTGATGGAGTTTTGCCCGGGGGGTGATCTGCACACATTGAGGCAACGGCAACCAGGGAAACATTTCTCTGAGTATGCAGCAAGGTGCGGTCAAATTTAATCTTTCTTTGAAAAATAATCGAAAATAATCGCATCAATATATTAAGGCATACAAAACGATCAACCAACGAGATCTTCTTAATTCTACCTTTTGGGGTCCCTCCCTCATTTAAGTTTACTCGTGATCATCTTCTTGAATTAAATACCCTTATTGGCTGTTTCGGTCATGAATCATCTGTAACTTTCTGATTTATATCAAACATATACTTTTCATTGATTGATATTATACGTAATATCTTTGAGTTGACCGCTCAAATCATTAAATTCTTTTTGCAATTTCAAGAAATAAATTCCTCAGGCTTTATGTGATTTTAGCCTTCGAATTCTTTCTAACCTGGGAATGATCTAACTGTCTTCTACATATTGTATAGGCTTCTTTTATTCATCGATAACTTACTGTTGTTTAATAAAATGTGTTTTATTAAGTTAATTTATATGGGAGAGAGAAGATTGTGCCAGATCTTATGCCTTAGTTGACTCGAATGATTGATGATGGAATCACTGGATGCGCAGAGACCAACTCATGGGAAAATCAAATGAGGGATGGGTTGAATGTGCACTCTACTTTTCCCATGATTTCCTCCGGACCAGTCATTATTATCCTGAGGATTCAAGAGAAAAGAATTCAAATATCTAATTTCAAATCTTCATAGAGGGATAACAAGACAGCCCCCTGAACATTTTGATTTTGAGGAACCCTTTTGAACACTGATGCGCCAAGTCTTCTGAGATTTGGAGTTCTGGGAATCTTTGGAACACAACAAGGATCATGAGTAATGTGCAGGATGCCAAAATTGTTATCATACTTTCTTCTAACTGATCATGAATATTCTTAGAGGGTACTAGCTTGATGAGTGGGAGTGATGGTGATACTCTTTTCCTCCACATACGGCATGTTGGTAACAGATTTTGTTATTTCTTTTCTGAAGACGTGTGTTGAGAAATGTGGCCACCTTTCACCTTCCCTTTTGACCGACCACCTTTGTAACAGGTGCAAATGTAAGCCTCATTATCCCATGTTTATTGCTCCATTATTTGTTTGAATCGAGGCATAAATGACGTTTGAAGAGATTTCCACCTGGTGTTTTGGTGTTTCTGCGTCAATTCATGCTTCTGCTAAACAGAAGCAGAGTTAACAGCTGTTTTCAAGGGAAAGTAGTGACCTTTTTCATCTGTTTGTGAACAGATTTTACGCAGCTGAGGTGCTCTTGGCTCTGGAATATCTCCACATGCTGGGGGTGGTATACAGGGACTTAAAGCCAGAGAATGTTCTCGTCCGTGACGATGGCCACATAATGCTCTCGGACTTCGATCTGTCTCTGCGATGCGCAGTGTCACCAACGCTGATAAGGACCTCCGCACTCGCCTCCGACCCTGCGAAGCAAACCTCGGGGGCCTTCTGCGTTCAACCCGCCTGCATGGAGCCCTCCTCGTCTGCCTGCATCCGGCCCGCTTGCTTCATGCCGAAGCTCTTCTCCCCGAATAAGAACAGCAAGGGTGGAAGGAGAAGAAAACCTCGAGCGGAGCAGTCGGGAGGGCACTCTGCGACCCTGCTTGAGCTGGTGGCGGAGCCCACGGCGGCGCGATCCATGTCCTTCGTGGGGACCCACGAGTACCTCGCGCCGGAGATCATCAAAGGCGAGGGCCACGGCAGCGCGGTGGACTGGTGGACGTTCGGCATCTTCCTCCACGAGCTCTTGTACGGCAAGACCCCGTTCAAGGGCTCCAGCAACCGGGCCACCCTGTTCAACGTGGTCGGGCAGCAGCTCAGATTCCCAGAGTCGCCCGGCACCAGCTACTCCGGCAGGGACCTCATCCGAGGCCTCCTGGTCAAGGAGCCCCAGCACCGGCTGGGCATGAAGAGGGGGGCGACCGAGATCAAGCAGCACCCGTTCTTCGAAGGAGTCAACTGGGCGCTGATCCGTTGCAGCACCCCGCCGGAGATCCCACGGCCGGCGGAGATGGAGCTTCCTGGACGACTTGTTCTTGCTGGGGCCGCGGATGCCGCGGCGGCGGCAGGTAGCAGCAGCAAGAGGATGGCTGGAGGTGATGCCAAGCCCGGCGGCAAGTACCTTGATTTCGAGTTCTTCTAAGCCTTCTAGCCCAGCTTTTCCTTGTCATTCTCCCTCCAGTGGATCTCCTCGAGTAAACATGGTGACGTCCTTTTGAAAGGATCTGCGCGCTCGGGGTCCTGTGGTACTATAAATCCCAGGGATGAGAACACGGCCTGTCTGTTCCTCGGCGATGGCCCGCTGGACCGGAGTCCTGAGGGTGGCGCTCGACGATCCCGGCGGCCCTCTGTTCAAGATAGCCGTTTCTCTGCGGCTCTCCTCCTCCACCGCCCTGGCCGCGCCCGCCATCAACGCCGTCTTCTTCACGGGAGACCGAATCGAGGGGACGGGAAACTCGGTCATCGAGGAGCTCTCGGATTCGGGGAACATCGCGCGCTTGCTGGTCTCGAAGCTGGGCGGGTCCGATGCGGCCGTAAACGCCTGGGTGGTGGACGCCGCCTCCTTCAGCGGCTCCTTCGCCGTCTACAAAGAGTTTGTTCCCTCGGTGGACTCGCGGGGCGACCCGCTAGGCTACGACCCGGAGGGGCTTCCGGCTTCCAGGTCCATCGTGTCGCTCTTCTCCAAGTGCATCCGGCAGGTTCGTCTCCTCCCATTCCCATCCCCCCCTCCTCCCCCCCGGGGACGATTGCCGCTTCCCCCCCTGGCATTCTCTTTCCGATTTTCCCGGGGAAGAACTTGATTGGAGAACCTCAAGATCCTGGAAGGGTCAACGAGCCTGTTGAAATCGTGAGTGGAAGGTTTCGATGGTGTGGGCGTATGAACGGAACCCTAATCAGGAACGGAGATCAACTTAATCCCAACGATCATGACCTAATGGGCATATTTTCATGTCTTCTGGATTCGTTCATGCCGATCTGCTCTTTACCTAAAGGTTACTGGCGTGATTGGAGCCGGACGGCAGGAGTCGGCAGCAGCCCACGCGCATCCGAGGACGGTGCTCTTGGGATTCAGCAAGGGCGGAATCGTCTTGAACCAGATCCTCTCGGAAATCTCCAGCATAACATCTGACTCTCTGGCCTGCTCCCTGGGCGGCCGCACCAGCGCTGAAGACAGCATATTTCCTGCCTCGGAAGGCAGGTTCCTCCGCAGCATCTCAGCGTTCCATTTCGTGGACGTCGGCCTGAACCGCGCGGGGGCGTATCTGACCGATGCCAGCGCGGTTGGGAGGATCGTGGAGATCTTCCGTCTCTGGGACAGCAGCAAGGTCGTCAGATTCGTTCTCCACGGTACCCCTCGTCAATGGCGCGACAGCCGACGCCCGTGGATTCGCAGGGAGAAGGCTAGGCTTGCCCAGCTGCTGCGCGAGGAGGAAGCCGGTGATGGGAGGGGGACAGTAAGCATCCAGGAGGTGCTCTACTTCCCAACGACGGCCCCTAGCTTGCAGATGCACTTCGAAATCATAGAAGCTATGCAACTGGGTTGAGAGGAGGAGGAGCTCAAGTGTGAACGTGACGTCAGCTAGTTGACTTAGTCCATTTGGTTGACGTGTTCTATCCCTGCACGATCGCCGTGGAGACCGACGTGGCTAATTTTTGGGGGCATATATAATTTTATTATTTATGTATCCTATTTCCAAGAGGGTCAGAGATTTTAAATAGCGAAAAGACAAGGAAGGAGGCTTCGTTGGAGGCCGCTGGAAGGCCGTAGGAAGCAACATCTGGGTGCCCATAAAATTCCCCTTCCCCACCCCCTTTCATCACGCTCACTCCAGCGGTCATCGCCTCCATCTCCTCCTCACCTCGCCCTCGTCTTCCAGCTCGTTCTTCATCGATGGCCGCCGGTGGCGAGGCCTCCTCCACCATCGAGCTCATCAAGCAGCACCTTTTCGGCGATTCCCTCCCCTCCCCGCGTGCCCCTCTCGTCCTCTCCGGCGAACCTATCTTCGAATCATTCCCGGAGGGCCACAGATCCGCCCCCTCCTCCTCCTCCTCCTCCTCATCCGGGTCCTTGGACTCCCGCCCCTCCCTGCTCATCGCGAGGCCACGTGCGCCGAACGTCGAGTGGACCGACGCCTCCTCGGCCTCGACGGCGGGGGATTTCAGGCACTACAGGGGGGTGAGGCAGAGGCCGTGGGGGAAGTACGCAGCGGAGATTAGGGACCCCAAGCGGCGGGGGTCGCGGGTGTGGCTGGGGACCTACGACTCCCCCGTCGAGGCCGCACGGGCGTACGACCGTGCCGCCTTCCAGATGAGGGGCAGCAAGGCCATCCTCAACTTTCCCAACGAGCTGGGCAGGTCCACCGACCAGCCGGCGCCGATAAGCGAGGGCTACCGCCAGGCGGAGACCGCCAGCCGGTGCTCCAAGAGGGAGAGGTCGCCGGAGTGCCAAGTGGATTTGGACCAAGTTTTCCGGCCAGCCAAGAGGGAAAGGGGGGAAGACGGCTTGGCGGCGCCGCCTAGCCCACCGCTGACGCCCTCGAGCTGGAGTAGCATCTGGGGAAGCGGCGATCCCATAGGGATCTTCAGCCTGCCGCCGCTCTCCCCTCTTTCTCCGCACCCGTCGATGGGCTTCGCCCAAGTCATGGTGATCTGAAGCAGTCAGACCTCCTGGCTGGACACCAATTTTGTTTTTTCCTCCTCTCTGAAAGAATTACTTCTCTTCGTCCAAACTTTACAGCATGATTTCCGCTTATAATCTGAAAGTTGCCATAGTTACGTCTCTTCCCCGTCACATTGCGGCCTCTAAAGCTACCTGCAAGATGCGCTATCTCGATGAATAGAAGAAACGTCGAACGTTCCTGCAACTTTTCGGGTTCCCCGTCGGCAATCTCGATTATCTTGACAGCGCGCCGTATAACAGACAAAGCCCCTTCAGGTCTCTTTTGTCCGGACGCCTAGCGACGTCACGGACTGACACCTCCATCGATTATTCAGAAGTATTATCTCTTTCATCCACGTCTTCGTGTCGGCCGAATTATTCATTCTGCCGACGTCCAAAATAGGGGAGATGGAGATGAGGCCTCAGACCTGTCGCGGCCCAGCGCGTGGTGCCATCAACAGACGTTTCCGAGATGGAGGACGGGTGCTTCGTTATCGTCGGCCTAGAGCATCTCTGCCGTCCGCTGTGGCGTTGGCCTGCCCCATACTCGCTAGTGAGAGGAAATAGGGCGACTGTAGTGATGACGAGGAAGGGAAGACATACCCGTTGTATCGGAAGGTCGCATCTAGCGGTCAGGCTCGATGACATTAGCCGAGCTGAGGTTCGTCGGTCGAACTTGGATTGGCTGACGGCGCACCTATCCTCCAGTTCCCTTATATTTCACTAAAACTGTACAGAGCTCCAAATGGCCCCACTTTTGCAATAAATATTATTTATTGATCAAATTTTGATTGGCCCATTGTTTAGAGGCCACAGGCATAATTTTTTATGCAAACATGTTCTGTTTTCCCTCTTCTTCCCACAGCTCTAGGTAAATAATGATCATAGCGTGGGGCAGTGTTGACATGAAATCCACTAAACTATTGTCAGCAAGTTCAGATGGAAACGTAAAGGCTCTTCTATTATTTCTTTTAGCTCCCATTTGATTATGTTCTTAATGAAGGCTTTGGGAGCTTGAGTTTTTTTAATGATGATTGTATTCATGGAAGAGTATTCTATTAACTTCACAATGGTAAAATTTTATAAGTATTATTTTGATTGGTGTATACTTAGGAAGGTTTGTCAACTCTCAGTAAAACTTTCTCGATGACAGAAAATTCATCTTCAATGATCACCACCTTCCTTGAAGGAGTCTACACTAGTTTGCTGCAAGCTTGAGCGCCTAAGAGCTACAAAGATCTAGTGCTGCTCAAGCTTGTCAATGACTCCTCTATGCCAAGCTTCTTCAGGAACAAAGTCAAAAGGATTATGATCCTCTGACAAACTTAGAGCTGAATGCCTAGAACATTACACGTTCACTTTATATTTAAAGGCGATTGTACACAAGGCCAAATAGGTACTTAATCTAGATGACATTTACTTGGGTTAATCTCACTAGAGTACCTAGGGCCTGAAATTTAGAAGAGAAGTGGGGCTTTCCTGTGATTTGGTCCTTTATAGCCTTGAATCTGAAAGCTGAGACTTGGGTGGAATCTTGAGTTGGCTAGAGTGGTGAAATATAGTGGTAAGACATCTGAAGCACATAATTCAACTTGTATTTTACTACTGACTTACTAGAACCTAAGAAAGTGGTGTTGTACACAATGCTTAGAGAATGGGGCAGATTTGATGACTGAACCATCATAAGAGAGAAACGAAATCATTTGAGTGATAAGAAAATTATGACTTTATCAATTCACCCCCATCTTTATGACATGATGTAATGAATAAATGAATTAATATTAAAACATACCTCAATACATGGGGAGTAAATATCCTTGGGGAGTATATCCAAATGGCAATAAATTCGGGATGAAATCTAGAATAATCTTCCACCCATGAGCCTCCCTTCTAAATATAATAGATCAAGTTATATATTTTGGAAAGAATGGACAAGAATTTATGTTCAGACCACAAATATTAATGTATGAAAGTGATTACAAATGGCCCATGTGAGGTGAAAGGTGATCTTTTGAGTGAGTAGATACGTAAATTGGTGTCATTGAATACAGGAGTAATGAACATATTATTTTGTGCTTTATAAATAAATAAATTCAATGGAGTCTCTATTTACAATATTCCAAATAAATTGAGACAATTTAGAAAATTATGAAATAATCACTCAAGCTAAGACGTAAAAAATTAATCAATCGGTTTGTGAATATGAATTATTCTCAATCCATGAAAGTGAATGCATTCAAATTTCTACAAGATTTACACATACACTCAATTGATTGAAGAGTCTCAAAAATATATACATTAATGTTGAATTTAATACAAAGATGTCAAATCTACCATCACGAGTTAGAGACCAAACATTTTTGAGCGGTTGAAGACAAGGATTTAATAAAATTTACATTAGATGACCTAATGAGTTCACTATTCATATATATGATTAGACTATTCAAATCATTGGGAATCATAGAAAGTAGTCCAAGAAAATAGTAACCCTTGGATAGAGAATTCCAACAAGGTATCTAGTGATAGTGGAGATGGAAAATAATAGCTTTGATCTTTGCGAAATTACGAAATTTCTTATTAGAAAGGGGACTAAGAAGTCCCCTGTTCACGTAGATATTCCATCACACCCCTGATTATAGGAGAATGAGCATCGAGTGATTTTCCTACTCACAGCATTCATCTAGTCCCCTGATATGTTGGTTTGTCCAATCTGACACCAGATGCGCTGGTACAATCATGAATATTTTCTTGATCCACTAATCCATTGTGAACCATGATCTACCTGCTATTGGTGTCAATCTGCTCCACAAACTTGGATCCAAAAAGCTTTAGGTGTAACATTCTCCGCCACCGATAAAGTCTAACATTTTCGTCGGAGGAAGCTCTTCGTCGCCTTCTTTGTATCCCACGAGTGTTGTACCTGCTGACGCACTCCCCGTCCACATCCCGTTGTGGGCGTGCTCTCCAGGGAGCTCACCTACTTGCTTGCTGCCGCAGCGCACCTAGCCGCCATCAGAACATGGCTAGGTGTCACACACTCGGCATACTCTATAGTTAGATCCGAGGCGGGATGCCCTTTGTTCCGTTCCCAGATAGTGACGTACGGCCCTCGTCACCTCCTCTGCGCATACCACGTATGCCACACCCGCTGTGTACTTTGCACTGCCCTGAAAGTGTGTGCCTTCATGCATGTTGTGTGCCCTTGCACTCGCCACACATGTCACTAGTGTTGCCACACGCCCCCGTATGCCGCTGCGTACTTTACACTGCCCTGAAAGTGTGCCTTCATGCATGTTGTGTGCCCTTGCACGCGCCACACATGTCACTAGTGGTGTCACACGCCCCCGTATGTGCAGTTCCTATGTGGATGCTACCCATTTTTCTCCCATACTGTCGCATCACGCTGCCCGTGTATGTGCACACCATGCCACACCCTTAACATGACCAATTGGAGCAGGGGGCTTTGCCACCTACAGCTGTCGACTCCTTTCTCAACTTCTCCTATACGGCTCGAAAGCAGGCTTCCATGGCTTTTAAGATGGCTAGTTGAGTATTCCACTCCTCCACTCAAGCAATCCTCAACTAGGGCGGCGCGATACAAAAATGTCATAACGTCAAGATTGACTTCACCCGAACCTTGATCAGCTTTGTCAACACAAAGCAGCCTCTCCGCAAGTAGAAGAATTCTTCAACAATGGAAAATGTGTGTTCTTTGTCATAGAACACAAGAGAATATTCTACTTCACTTTTCCAAGCTTGAAATTCCCTCTACATTCATAAGAGAGACTCTCTCAAGATCCCCCATTTCTAGTCTTAAAAACCTTAGCATAATAGAGAGGTCTTAGCTTGTATCATGAAATAACATATAGTGATGATCTTGTTGTCATTAGACCCCTTCCACTCAGCTTCTACTTCATAATCCACTCACACCCTTATCTAACAAGTTTTCTCCTTGTCTCAACTTGGAATGTAATAAAACCAAGGTCAACTGAAGAACAAAAAGCCTTGAAGAAAAGGATTCTAGGAGGATGCTTCCAAAGCACCAATTATTCTAAACGAAAATAGCAAACAAGACTCTAGAGTACCAAAACTGGTCTAATAAGCAAAGGAGATGATTACCAATTCAAAATGGAGAACTTCTCAATGTTATGGGCTTACCCCCACTATAAACACATGATACCTTAAACAGAATGTATCTTACTAGATAATTAAGGTAATGTATACCTCTAAGTGGCATATGTGCAACAGCCAGAGGGAAGGAAGGTTAGGCACCAGATGATGTAAACTTTCCTTTTCATTTTCTCTTATGTAATTTTAATTTTGAATCAATGATGAGATTTTTACCATGAAATATTTTGTGTAATTTTTTAACATCATCGTGAATATGTATTAGTTCTGAATAAAGTTCTCACATTTTGACAATCTTAGCTGGGTCCTGTACCAGTAGGCCCAGTCCAAGGCCGGCCCATTAACACTAGTCAGAGCCGTTTGAGACCTGCCCGCCCAGATTTCAAAACAGGAGGGAAGAGGACTCCATTTATTTCACTTTCACCCGCTCCCTAAGGCATCTTCCCTCCTCTCTCGCTCTCTCACAGGCCTCACCGGCAGAAGCGCCGTCTTGTCCTCCTAGGGCAATGGAGATGCCTCTGCTGTGGTGACCAGTCTGATCTAGGGTTGTCGCAGCGTCTCGGATTCCTAGGGATGGTAGTTGCGTATGTTGTCCACCATTTTCTCCGTTTTTACCTTGGCAATTTATTTCAATATTCGTGCTTCCATTTCCCTCTTGATATTATGGCAAAGGGGTCCTCGGATCGGGATCGCGGATGTTAGGGTTTGGCGTCGACTCTCATATGACAGGAGGCTGTTTTGTGGCAGTTGTCGAAAGGGGGGGGAGTGGGGGGGGGGTTAGGGTAGGGTTTTGTTCCAGAAAGTCGGCTGATAATTTAGTTCTCATCTTTTCTTCGTCCTATTTCCTTGTGATTAATGTGAGATCCTTTTCGTCTTCAAATGATGGAGTTCCGTCGTATTTTATGTCGGGCCTTTCTCCGTTGATGCAATTTCTGTGGTTGTGTTATCTTCCTTTCAGATTATGATCTAATGCTCAAATGGGAAATATTTTCTCCAGCTTAATCTGGCCGGGCAGCTTTACAATTAACGTCGGTGCTACTCAGTAAAGAGTGCATGGCAAAGGTTGCGGTGGTTGAGCCTATGAAGGCGAAAACCTTCGCAGTGGGAAGATCTCAATCTGATATCATGACGAAAAGGAGGACCCCATCAGAGCTGCGGGTGTGTACTCTGCAGCCATTTTTTACATATCTATATTCTTTCCTTCATCCAATGCATACTATGTCATCTTTTGCGCTGTTTACTACTGTAGCCCCTTACCCCATGCTCTTTATTATATGACTAGTTTTGAATGATTTTTCATCAATTTTCCTTCATTTTCTAATAAATTTTAGCTGGCATTTTCACTTCTCCCACTATTATCCCGGGATACATGCACAAAGTGTATGTTTAGGTCCTCTATCTTGGATATGACTAGTGGGTTGATAATTTTAATTTCTCCTCCTGCTCCACCTACGACCTTTGTTTAGGTGAAAACTGATCCTATTTTTCTGTTCATGTTATATCTTTGACGGGTAAGTCATTGTCTCCAAGTTAGACATGGTCCAAGTATATCTTTTCTTTATTCCTCTTCAATAACGAACTCATGAGCTATTCCTTTGTTGAAACATTCTTTTTACTGGCTTTTTCGGTGTACTGCCTGTTTTGTGATGTACAGACTAGTGGAAGGTTTTTGCCAATGCTTTCATCCTCATATTTTTTTTTTTTTTCATGATTTCTCGCCAATCAAACCCATGCCATAACTTTATATTAATTTTATCTTTTTTCCCTCTATTAATGGAAGTTGTGTTGGCCCTTATTTATTCGGGAAAGTGATTTTCCAGTTAATCCTCTTGAGGACTCTTATGTGACAGGGTGAGCAGTTAAAGCGACTAAGATGTGGAACATCTGCAGATTCACAGTTAGTTTCTTGCCTTTGACAGGCGCTGGCTTTATATAATATAGATGGTATTTTCTAATGTAGTTCGTGCTGACAGTCCAATTTTCACCAGACTTTTTGATTTGGCAAGAGGGCACAAAAAACCTGAATCTCTGAGGGGTCCAAAATATATTGACACAAGGGTTGATGAGGTCTATACTGCTCGAAAGTTTGGTGACAAGTGGAGAATGCCCAGTGAAAAGGAAAAGACCAAGGTTGTTGCTGTACTGTAGATTATCTTATGTTCTGCATCTGACATTAATATTTTTTTTCCATGTAGTTCTCATTGTTTAAATCTAGCTATTTTTATTGACTTCTGCGTTAACTGTTCCTCTTCAAACTTCTTGTTGCAGGATTCTGCCCTCAGTATTGAAAAAACTGATAGGTAAAATCAGCATCCCACCACTATTAAATCATATGGAGATGCAAAATCCCTGATATCACGTTATACTGTTGAAATAAGACATGTCAGTGGCTTTGTCGCATATTCTTACCGTCCCCATGAATCATTGATTTTTGATGCAGTGATGATGCTAGAAATTCTTGTACATCAGGAAGTGCTGTCCTGATTGGAAAGAGCATCAATGATAAAACTTCTCATAATCTTGAGAAATGTAGCCGTAATACGTTCCTCACAGTTAAGCAGCTTTCTCTGGGTGATGAAAGAGTCCAAGGCCCTCCGAACATTGACATGGTAACCTTTAATGAATGCTCTTTGGTCTTAATCGTTGTGTACAGTTTCTGACTGACAGTACTTAAATTATTTGTAGGACAAAGCACTAAGGGGCCTAACAGTTCGAGAAGTCATTCATAATTCTGCCTTCTCAACAGAGTTTTCTGGAAAGCATGGTGTCCCGCCATCTTTGTCTTCCAGAAAATTTAACTCTGAATTTTGTCTTCCTGGACATAAATCGCCACTGGATTTTACTTTAAAAACTGCATTGAGGCTGGTATCTTCCTCTTCGGTGAAATGGTGTGTCTAAAAGGCCTTTTTTATGAATTTTATCTTATGATTTTTGTTATGTATAAAATGCATTACTGAGAATTTCAGAAAATCATATTTTTACTCATAAGTTGACAGGCAATGGATGAGGTTGTCATTTTGCTTGACCTCTCAGTTTGTCATTCGTTACAGAACCATGTTAAACATAAAATATTCTATAGGGAGGTAGAAATTTATATTTAAAGATACTAGGCGCCTATATCTTGGAGTGCCTTTATTTTGGCCCTTTTGTCATTGACACTTGATAACATTGCTGCCCTTATCGTGTATCACCAAAAGAACTGAAATCAGCTGTTATGATGTTGAAATATCACTAGGCTTCCTACCATAAATTTTTGTATGCGAAAATTTGAGTTGTCTTCTCATTTTATTCCCATTCTTAGTGATCACATTCTATTATTATTTCTTAGGCATGCTTTAATATCTTTATGTGGACGTTCTTGCATCAGTTTTTTATCATTCCGGATTTTTTATGGTGTATGATCATACATGCTTGGAAAGATGTTAAAAAGGAAGCGTAAAATATATTTGTTGTATCAGATTTCCCAAGAATGGAATTCTCCTTTCCATCAATCAGGTTTAGATTAAAAAAAATCAAAATTATTTTGGGGTTTGCTCAATTTTGGTGTATCAAATTTCCCAAGAATGCTCAATTATCATGCTCATCATTGGGTTTATTCCATTAATCTTGATAAGGAGGGACATGATATTGGGAATAGGAAAAATGATGCTTTCCTATCTGGTTATTATTCCATCTTTGCATTTGTCAAGGCATAAATTTTTGTAAGAAAAATTGTTGTTCTTGCTGATCAAGAAACTAATATTAAACACATTCAAATTGTGCTTATTAAGAATTTTAAATTTTGGAAAAAAATGTTTTCATTTTCTATGAAGAATATACTCATCCTTAGGTGATAATATCCACAAATTCGGTAGTTGATTAGTGGTATATCTTTGATATAAATTCTTTATACAACTTATTCAAATGATTCTTAGAATTTTTCTGTATAGATTTCTAACTTAACAACGTTTTGGGGTCGGTTTGAAGTTGGTTTGGAATTTTCATTTCGGACGAATTGAAGAGGCTCATGGAAATTAATAGGACTGTGCTTGGAAGAAAATTTAGTTTTCAAAATAATCTTTTAAGGTAGGATAAAGCACACCATCATTGCTGAACTAAATGATCACTCAATAGGATTTCGATCTCTGTAAGACGCCACTAGAAATGGGTTGATTGAGTAACTTGATTCAGTGATGGAAGGAAAAAAAAATATTCTGGTCAACGGACGAACTTGTAGGTACTTTATTAATTCAATGGGTTTTGCATCTGGGTGGTACTTTCACACCATTGTTCATCGCATTAGATCCTGAATTCGATGTAGATTATGGCTATGTATGGAGGTCTAGTCAAAGAAGTGGTAAAGAGGGACTATCAACTTGCAATTTAACAACGCTGGGTTCATTATCTGGTGACATGTATCATGTGTATTTAGGATACCCAATGGACCATTTTCAAATATTACCGTGAGTTTCAAATCCTTCAAGACGTGAGGATAAAAGTTACGCAATAAATAGTAGCTATAGGAACAAGATTGCAGCATAAATTGTTAACCGTTTGTTTCTATGTTATTTCTTCTCCGTCATGCGACTAATTAGATTCCATTTCGTCTTTTGGCATAATAGACAATAGAGGAGAGCTATAATCAGAAACTATCTGCAGAAAATTTCAGATGATTCACTGCTCTGCTCTTGCAGATTTTCTCTTTATATTTGCTTGGCATGATGGTATCTATCGTATTATTTATAATTCTTCACAATCCAAAACAACATACTTCGTTCCTATCAATGGCAATTCCTCTCTGATGTGTATCTAGCATAAGACCATAGAACCGTGGACTACAAGCTTGGCGACTCATTAACTTGTTATGGTGGGAATAATTAACCTGATTGATTGACCTATGGAGCAAGACTGCACATCCCTAGTCAATGTCTTTCATTTTGGCCGGAGAAGTGAAGGGGTCATCAAAACTTATTGATGATCTTGAGTCAATGCACAACGTAGCACCTCTCTGATCCTTGGTTGTGTTTCTAGAGAAACGTATCAGTTCCTATCATAAAACGCTTGGTGAACTGGGCAAAGCAACGGGTATTGTTATGTTGTCTGGGAAAGGGTTCTTGTGGAGACCTTGAGTTCTTACATAACTGTGTAATGATCTTTTGGTTTACTATTGGTTATAGTTCATGATTTTTGATTGTACATCTCTTATCCTTTTTTTCTTTTCGAACTTGTAGGTGTCACAAGTTATCAGCAAGTTGGGTTTACAGTGATGCCATCCAGTATCATGATGCATTTGATGTCTGCTACACTAAAGCTTTGAATACGTGGACATATCCACAGTCCTCTCTACCTTCTTCTGTAGTCTCTGCGATGTCTTTCACATCATCACAGGCAGGTTTGTCTCCTTATATCTGTGAACAGTTGTGTTCAGGATCACAACTTGGATTCCCATAATGTTATTTCATGCAGAATCCAGCTTCTTGCTTAAGCGGCAACAAGATTGGGATGATTCATTTCGGAGTCTATACTACATGCTAAGAAAGAGTCTTTGTAATATTTTTTACGGTACTCTTCTTTTGCTTCCCCCTTTTTTGTTGATTATGGCAACATATGGCCTTTTGCCTTGGCTATGCTTATAAATTGTTCTTTATTTCTAAACAGACAGGAACACTTGAAATATTAAGCACGATAACATCGTTTTTTTTTACCTTTTAAATACGGGGGACTGTCATGTGTTATCATATTCTTCATTTGAATCTCAGTGGCTATAGCACTGCCCTTTTAAGCGATTTTTTTGACCTGGTGGAGATTTTGAACTTATATATTGCCTTAGCGCAAGTACCAAAGTTTCCTGTGTTTTAAAAGGGCTAGTGCCAAATTATCATATACCTGGCTGCCTCTTGGAGTGAATTAAGGCCTGGTATGTTCAGTGCTGTGCAGCTCATCCTGTATACAGATCCTGTATAGAGTGAATTAAGGCCTCTTAGAGTGAATTATGGCTTGCCTATTTTTTCTGTTGTAACGAATGGATTCGTATATTGTCCATGAGAGTGTGATTTATAATTATCTTTCTGATAATTTCTCAATGTGAAGAATTCTTCTGATTTTTCTTGCCTAAAGTTGAAAATTTCTTAGAGTCTGGAGTGATTGATATACACTGAGATCATTGATTATCATTGTACTGTTGGGGGAGACCAGATGCAGAGAGAATGGCTAGGAAGAGTTTTTTAATATTCTAAAGAGATCTTTCTTTTGTAAGGCGGCCTAATTTGATTGATACGAGGCAGGTGATGACCCAATGATTTGCTTTTTATCCTTGGGCATCAGTGTATTTTTAGTTTTAACATCCAGGCAGTTAAACGTGAATATGCTCATCTTTAATGCCATTGATTCAATGCAAGTACGTTCTATTTTTGTACACTGTCATATAGAAAGTGTTGATTATGTGGATTTGCAGTTCATACTACGCAATTCGTGGCAATGTTCGTTGGTGGCCAGTTCTTGGAGAAGAAAAAACGTTCCATCAACGCATACATTTCACAGTCAACTACTGGATTACGTTCTTTGCTCAGAGAGCATGTATGATACGTCTCCTTGGCCTCATTCTTCGCATATGTTGCAATTCTTTTGACTAATATACATTAGATAGTTTTTGGACTGAAAACCTGAAAAATAAGTTTTTGGACCATAGCATCCAGAAATGTATGCAGAAACCTTTGCTGTTCAGTCTTATCATTTCTCCATGTTCATGATTACAATCAGGATGTAGCTTTTTCCATGCCTCTTTGCCATTCTGAGGCTGAGCAGGCCGCTGAAGATGATCTTGTGGAGCTCTCTGAGATTGAGAACCAAAGCCTTGGCCGGGTATCCATCCTCTCTCTCTCTCTCTCTCTCTCTGTCTGTCTCTCTCTCTTTGTCTCTCTCTCGTGTCCTCTAAACTCTCATTCATGCTTTAATACCTGATTAAGAAATGGCCCGTCCATCCATCCATGCAGGCGCTTCATTTGGATGCCCTTTCTGATGTTGACAGCAGTCCTCAATCTTTGCTGGCGTTCACTGGAAACCACAACGTTCATGCCCTATATGACTTCCTGTTGAATCATAGGCAAGGACCCACGAATCTCTTTGCTGGGGACTTAACACCATGGGCTCGATGGGTGATTAATCTCTTCTCCTCCTTTCAGGTATTTCTCCAGCTCTCTGGCTGGGGTCGATGTTCCAATGCTGTACTCCCCTATGCCTTTTCAAAATGCCTCTGTTTGTATTCCCGAGGTTAGTGGTTGATCATAATATAATATGCATGTATGTATTCTCTCTCTCTCTCCCTCTCTCACATTTAGCCTTACCTGCTTTTATGTTTGGTCGTTATTTGGATTCCCCCAGGTGAGATGCAAGGAGATGAAGAGAGCTGACGCAGTGGAGGGCAAGGCTTGGGGCGGCTTCATGTCCTACAGCATTGAGATCAAGGACGCTGTTCTCCCACCATGGGTAGTTTCTGGGCTTTGTGCGGCCATGGGAGCTCGAGGAAGCAGCTTCCAGTCCAGGTATGCCTGAATCCTAAGCTGCTCAGCCTCCTCTTGGAGCATCAGGCCCAGGTCATGCTTTTGTGGATAGTCGTTCAGGCTTCATTCTGAGGCTGGAGCCTAGATGGTTACTCGGATGAGTCTAGAAATTAAAGCAAAAAGGATGCTCTCTGCAGCTTTACGACAGAGCCAATGTCCATGGGGCTGAACGTTGCTCTCAATTCGATTTTTGGCAAGTCAACGTCATCCTCTGCACCAGACGAGTGCACCCCCCTGTCCGGCAGCACTCTTGGCTTTCCTGAAGCTGTCATTACCCCACAGCTGAACTCTGCTTTCTTGAAAGAGCTAAGGTATGACAATGGCTCCTACGAGGCCCATCTCACCCCACTTTGAGTTACTCTATCCAGCCCGCAGGATCTCTCCATATCTCTGCCGATTCTTCAAGCCCTGCTGATCTTCTTCTCTCTGGTGGTGGAATTCTCAATGTGAATCTGTGATAGCTGTTGGAATTTCTTTTCTGTGAGAGAACTTTAATGCCATCTTAATATGAGGTCGCTTAAGTGGCTTGCTCTCGTTAGACAGATGATTGTCTTGGTCTGCCGCCCTGTACCTCAGTTTGCTCTCTCTCTCTCTCTCTCTCTCTCTACATTGAAATGTAGAAATCCAGCACTGTAAGTGTTCCTCAAGGGAGAGGGCAGACCTACATTGGGCGACTTTCTCTGCTATTTTTGTCTAAGCATTATGTCTCAGATCTACATTGAAAGAAGACTTTTCTGGTTAGGGCAAATGCTCTTCAGTCAGCAATTTTTCAGCTAGGGAAGAGCAGTAGCCCCAATGCTTTCAGGCACCCCTTCTCCCTTGCTATGGGCGAGATGTTGCCTCAAAACTGTACCATGAACTGCAATCTTTATGGATAACGAATGCTAGCAAGGATCTTGCTGTGGAATCTGACGTAATATTTTGTTGTGGTCTTGTAATAATAATAATATATACATTTTTTATTTTATAAATATAATTCAAGGGTCCATTCTTACTAATTTACGTGCTGCCATTGTACGATTTTTTTTCCCTTTTCGAATATAATTATCAAATCTAAATAATGGCTTTTTGTGTCTATGTGATGGTATAGCGAAGCAGTTTAGCCCAGAAATCAGTTGGGTGTAGGTGGATGGCAAATTTAGCATCTTTATTCTTGACGAGTGTACTGGTCAAGCGGTCCATAGCCTCTCCCTTGTCCTGACGGGCTCTTCCCCCTGTTATTGGGCCGGGCAGAGGAACCCGAGGTCCAGCAGGTGCGTTTAATGGGGCCCCGCACCGGACCGTTGAGCTCGCGTCCAACTGTATTCCATTTTACGAGCGGACCTCGAGAGGGAGGGGGGGTTTAGGTTTTCAACTCCCTCGTGTTCAGTTCCTCGGAGGTGGGGAGGTTTAGCGACCTGGTCGGCGACCGTGACGGAGATGGCAACGTCGGCGAGGTGGTCGGCGATCCGCCTTCTCCCCGCACTTCGGCGAGCCGAGACCAGGGCATCGGTCGCGTCTGCGGCGTCGTTAGCAGACCTCGCGGCCTCACCGCCGGGGCTGCTGCTGCTGTTTAGATCGCTGTCGACGGCGGCGGCGCGGGCGGGTAAAGAGGAGGCTCGCTGGAAGGAGGCGTTGGATAAGCTCAGGAACATCGGGATATCGGCTCACATCGACTCTGGGAAGACGACCCTTACAGAACGGATACTGTACTACACGGGTAGGATCCATGAGATTCACGAGGTACGGGGGCGGGATGGCGTTGGGGCCAAGATGGACTCCATGGACCTGGAGCGAGAGAAGGGCATCACCATCCAGTCAGCTGCCACGTACTGCGCCTGGAATGGCTACCAGGTTCTTTCGTTAGACTTGGTGTCTCTTGTTTTCAAGTAAACATATTCTGTTTATTGATGTCACCTTTGAGCGTTGTATTTTGTTTCAGGAATCTATGAAAGTGTTTTTCTCCTGTTAACTCTACTGTTCTTTAATGAGAACATGTGACTCTGTCTTCACTGTGGTACTTCTGATCGATTGCTTGAAATTTTGTTCGGAACTACACGGCTGGATATTTACTTTCTTATGCTTTTCGTGTTGTCTCTCCCGACCATAACTCAGCCATGTTTCCTCTAATCGGAGAGGAAGGCCTGTAACAGTTTGTAGTTTTTATATCGTTCGTCTGAATCATAATCGTTAGAGCGTTTAACAAAGAAGGTAGAAGCTTACTGCTTTAGCTGCTTTTACAACAGGATATCATTCCACACTTAAGCCTTAATATTATGAAAAATAAAAGTGAAAACTAAATCTACAAGTGTCACCAGTCTCTAATTTGTCAATTTGCTCTCATGCCGATTTGAAGCAGTGACAATGGTGAACAATTCGTTTCCATATAAATTGAGGTCAAATAAAACAATCCCTATTTGCGAAACGTTATGAAGAAGTTCATGTTTTTTATCATAGCTATCACATCTAGCTTTTAGCCATATTAGGTGATAAGCTTATTGATAAAGCAATACTTTCTATTCCTTCTTAAAAATGTTAGTGTACCTTTATTTTGAAAATGTAGTCGCTTCTAGACTCAGTTCGACTAAAGTTTGGAGTTGGAACATACTCTATTTGTCTATCAAAATGCGAACCTTAGCTATAATCACAAATCAGGGGATTATGTTTATCGATATCCCTTGTTCACCAACGATTCTTCCTGAGTAAGAACACTCTTTACTAATTGATGTCTGTTTCAGTGTACTGTGGTTGTCTTTAATTTTTTTAATGTAAAGTTTTTAACATTTTAGTAAAAACCCGTAGATGAGCAAGGTTTATGCCATTTAAGCTTCCATACAAATGCCTTGTTTTCTATAGTGTGCTTCAGCAGTGCCAAATGCGATAGTTGAATCCTGGGCGAGCTACTGAGATATGAATAGGTGTTTCTCCATTGCCTTTTCTGAATCATGTCCTTAACTGTATATTTATTTTGGTTACCCGGGTTGCTCTTGATTTATGGTGATGGTAAGGGTTTTGTATATTGGCAAAAAGTAGTGTCAGCTTCTGGAAGGCATTTAATGATATGATAATGATTCATGAAATTAATATTGATAGGGTCTCGAACAGGTCCCTTCCAAGGCAGCGAACTGAATGCACGGACAAGAGAGGGATAGAGAGATGAACACAGGATGACTAAAATAGGACGAGACCAGAACAGAAAAGGAGAAAAGGGTTTCTGAAGGAAACCCTAGGATAGTTCAGGACAAATTTGAGAGTATCCCACTCTCCCGCTGACTTTCCTCCAAAAGTGTCCCCCACAGTAGGGGCCGCAGGGTTCCTTATATGTCCTGCTTACTAGCCCCCTTGTCCCACCTATAGCTTACCCTTTCCTCTCCCGGCGTAAGTAACCCAGGCAGTTTGCCTGGTAATGGGCCGAATAGTTTTGGTCATAACATATTCCAAGAGAAATGATAGAAAGGTTGAGGGAAAGAAGGTGGCGACTCATGGTTTTTTATGTTTTTTATGTACAGGTACGATTTTTAACTGTTCAAAAACGTGTTAATGAAGTAGATATCTGTGTTATACAGATCCCTGCTCATCCTAGGACTTACTTGGGAATGGTCCTCCTATTTCGTCCTCTTCTCCTACTTCTACTGTTTTTACTTTCTCCTGTTATCTAGAAGCGAACTTGTCTATGTTGTCCAGCACAAGAGTGTATTTTTATTCTAGATCACTGGAAGGACTAGTGATAAAATACCCTGGTCTATGCTGTTAACATAACGCCAGAGAAAGATCATGTAATTAGGATGCTGATACTTTTTCTTGTCCTGGTGCAAATCTGTGTTTTTTTAGGATATTCATTGCATGCCCCAAAAATATAGGTAGTACGTGCTGCCTAGGCAAGTGTTCTCACTCATTTTTCAACAATTGCTTTTCACAGATGAGTGGCAGTTGCTTTGCACCATTTGCATTAATTTTTTTAAAATATTTAATCAGTACATATTTTTAATGATTTTTATCAATTATATCCTTCACTGAGCGTTCTTCTGGATCAAGGAAAGAAAGGGAGGGCCACCAAAATGATAGTCCTTTGAAGGAAGGTGCATCACACATCTGGGCAGGCCATTGGAGTAGCCCAAATAATGGCATTTTTGTGTCGATTGGAATATTTCCCTACATGGAATGGCTCAATTCTGTCCTCATGAAAGACTTCCCATTTTGGTGTTGTTGTCGAAAACGTTCTTCATGTTCTATAGAATTCAACGAATTGGATTTGACAAGTAAACCAGTTTCCTTTGCTCCACTTTTCGTCAGCTTCATGCAGTCCTGCTTGTTGATCTTTTTGGTTGCTTGCTACCCCAATGTATGTGAAGTGAGAAGTTCCACAACGATTCCCCATCTTGTCAGAAGAATAATAGCTGACCATGACTTGTTTTGCATCTATTTTTAATGCTGGTGTGTCGGCTGTTTTTGTTACTTCACCTTTATTCTCCATGATGAGCTGCGATGTTTTATGGTGGATCTACACTTTAACTGAACTATCTTTCTTTATGTTTTCACTAGCGTCCAATAAAAGAAATTGATATCAATATTTATTCCTAAACTAGTTAGTCCTTTTCTGCCAATAAAATGTGAGTTTCGCATTAATTTGGCGTGTTGGCGGTAGTCCCATATCAGATGGTTCAAAAGCACCTGCCTGGACCTGAATGGTGCCATAGAAATGGGGGAGTATGACAGTTAAACATCGTACCTAGAGATCTATGACACGTTTTTGAACCCAAATATATCCTTAAATAATCCAATGTCCCCGCTCAACCTATTTATTTGATTCCATTGATTGGTTCCAACACCCCTAAAGAAATCCCAGAAGATCATTCCCCCGTCTTTCTTTTTTCTGCAATATTTAATTCTTGGGTACGCTATGGATTCGTCATTCTTGAACACTCTCATATGATAATTCAGATCAAGGAAAATACATACATACTGTTAATGTTGTGCATTCTTTGATAGAGGAAGTTTTTTAAGTAACATTTTGAAAAATGATGTGGCATTGTTTCCTAATTCTTTTGTCAATTGTGTTGCTAAAGGCATCTTAAGTACTTCTGGTTCATTGCAGGTCAATATAATTGATACACCAGGTCATGTGGATTTCACGATTGAAGTTGAAAGAGCACTTCGTGTTCTTGATGGTGCAATTCTCGTCCTTTGTAGTGTTGGAGGAGTACAAAGCCAGTCCATTACTGTTGATCGTCAAATGAGACGATATGAAGTCCCTCGTGTGGGTTTTATTAACAAACTTGACCGAATGGGAGCTGATCCTTGGAAAGTTCTTAGTCAGGTCCTTATGTGACGATCTATGAAAATTTTGAGTTTGTAATTTATCATATCTTTTTGATCTTGTCATAAATTTTCTGTGATAACTGCATAACTGATGTTTCTGGTCTTTCACATGATACATTGCATAAATAGCTCTTCATGTGAGAGATCAACTAAAATATTTTATGATTATAGGATAACTTAGAAGTCTGATCTGGCTTATTGTAGTGTTCTGAATCGTAGGCTAGAAGTTACCTTTCGTCTGTTTTGGCTATTGTATATTTTGAGTATCTTCGAATTGGGTTTGTATATTCTTCATATATTTTGTGATTAGAATTTGTGAATTCTAGCTTGTGGTGATGGTACAGTACCTTTTTCGCTAATTGTTTTGTATGACTTGATAGTATCATAGCTGACTATTTCGTATTTTTTTAGCTTTGTGAATAATGATCAACAATGGGTACAAGGATCAACTGCGATGGAAAAATGCTAATGATGGAGTTATTTATGATATTTTCAGGCAAGATCTAAGCTCAGACATCACAGTGCTGCAGTGCAAGTCCCAATTGGATTGGAGGAAGATTTTCAGGGTCTCATTGACCTTGTCCAGTTGAAAGCTTATTATTTTCAGGGTTCCAGCGGGTTTGTACCAATCTGTTTGTCACGATTTCCTTGTTGTGAACTCTAAGAACGTACTCAAACAAATTTTATTTTGATTTATGTCAGTGAAAACGTTGTCACTGCTGATGTTCCTCTTAATATGGAGGCTATTGTAGCAGAAAAACGTCACGAGCTGATTGAAACTGTGTCAGAAGTTGATGACAAACTTGCAGAATTTTTTCTTAGTGATGAGCCTGTATCTTCCAGTGACCTTGATGTAAGTCCATTAAAATATGATCTTTAAAAGCTTCTGCTTCTCTTGCTGCGAAGTGTTGTGTGATGATCGAGAGTATTTCTACATTTTAATTTCTTTATGTTGTACCATGAATCTGGACCTTTATTTTTCCTGACATGATTATTACACTAATGGAACCTTGTACTTCTTAAACTTGACTTACCTTTCTTGATATGGGGAATCTCTTGTTGTCCATGGAGTGCTTTTTCTCTGCTTCATCTGATTTCTGACTCTGTGGTGGTTATGCTGATGGACTTTCGGATTTTTTGTCTCGAAGTGTGTAACGCTTATTATTATGATTCTTGGTCAAAATCATAGCATATTATTATGATCCCAGTGATATTTTTTGAAAAGTCAAAAAACACCATATAATCACTAATTATTAAAAAGAATGGAGATACTTGAACATGCATTCGCATGTACCCTCAGGGTTTCTATTCAACAATTAGAGACAATGCCAAGATGGCATGTGCTCATTCTTATTCAAAATGACTATTTCCTTGTTTTTTTTCTTCTGATTTTCGGTGACTGGGGAGATCGTCAGCGTTCTTAGTTCCTAGGGGATGTAAGCTGAGAGTAGCTTAGGTTGAGTGCCTTTTTTGAAAACTAAACAATAAATTTAAGCACGAAATAGATGTGTAAATTTGTTTACGCAACTTGTTGAAGTGAATGAAGAATTAGATGTGTATGTACAGTTATTTATTACTATTTAATACTTAATTATCAAATAAAGTTTAATGCATGAACACCTGTTCATGATTGCCCTTTGCCAAGTTATGGGTCTTTGTGAACAGGAACTCAGTTATTTTTGAACAGAGACGAACATGAAAAACTATTTGTAAACTGTTATTCTATGAAGTAATGTTTTCCAAATGTTAGTTTCTTCATTTTTATAATTATTTGCGGATATTCTCAATAGAAAATCCACATCTGGTCGTTTGTGAAACTTCTTGCATTATTTGATGAATTTAAATCATGCGAATGTTCTTTGTCGGTTAACTGGTATTCTCGGCTTGTCCTGAAGCTTTCTTTAAGCTTGTAATGAGAAGAGATGGATGTTTTTTATTATTTTCTACAAGTGGCTCCATTATTGTTCTTTCTCAGACAGACACTTTTTTCATTTAAGTGAATCACGAATCTCAAGAATCCTGCGTGAAAAATGAATACTTTTTCTTAGATGTAGGGTACCCTATAGAACATTAACTTTCTCAGGTTAGTTGTGAGGGTTGTGAGCTGACTATTTTTTATTACTTGCTTTTGGACTTCACTGCATGCAAAGTTACTGTATATTGGAATAACCTTCATACGGTGTGGGCAGAAAGGATGGTTCTCGACCATGTGCCTTATCTAGAGCTTACAAGTACTTTTGAGCACGATAGTGTAGCTTTGAAATTAGGGGTGCCAATGGGCCGAAATAATTTGGTGGTTCGATCTGGCTCATTTTTTCGGTCGTTTGGGCGGAATATCAAAATGGTAATGAGTTGGCATGGCATAGCCTAGTGGTGTGAAAGGGCACTGACCCTTGATGGTAAAAATAAGCAGTGTTCTGCACTAAAATTTCGCTGCCGTCTGAGGAATTGATGGATATTTAGAGGTGCTGGCATGCCCTAATATATATGAGCATCATCTAATATTGAGTGATGGGGGTGCCAACATTGCCCTTTGGGACATGTTGTTCGGTGTGTGTAGCACAAAAAAGACATGGACCACATGAAAGTTAGCATATAAGATGGGTTTTGTTCTTTCCCTTCTTTGTAAAAGTTTGGTGTCTCATTTGAGTGCATTCATGACATATAAGTAGAGTTGCCTGTATTTGTTTGTTGTAAAAAATGGATATTGGAAGTCTAATTAGGCCCGAATGAAGAGGTAATTGTCATATCTGATTGGTTTTTCCAAATCTGCTATTATCAGGAACAGCAGAAGGAAATTGTGTTGGGAATCGCAAGATCACCTAGGATAGGTCAATTTTTGGTAATAACTATCAGGATGCCATCCAGATGAGGGTAGATCAAGTCAAAATATGTGCATGTAATTCTCAGTCTAGCTTTGTCACTAAATCGATTCTTCCCAGTCTCGATATCTTATTTATGGTGCATTCCCTGCTTATTATTCTCTTCTTAGTTCTTTAGGGATTTCCTTAAAACACAATCGTCTTCTCGGTTGTGAAAACTACATGCGGTCTTGGATCCCAACTGAAATTCTTTCCCCGTCGTATGAGCATATTGGTACTTCTCGTTTTGATGTTTAAATTTTTTTCAAGCAGATGGCAATCCGCAGGGCGACAATATCTCGAAAGTTCGTGCCTGTTTTCATGGGAAGTGCATTCAAGAACAAGGTACTCACTTTACTCTGGAAACCGTAGATTCCTCTCTTGGCACTTCTGATATAGGGAATCAGTCTTTGAAGAATTGTTTGGTGACGTCAAACAATCTGTGTCTTTTCTGCTCTCTTCTCTCTTTGTAAATCACCAATCTGTGTGGGTGATGAACCTATGAAGTTAATTTTAAGTAAACCATACTATTATTGACTGGAGAGACTTGGTATTATGAGGACAGTCTTGCAACCAGTCTATGAGTTGTGTTCAATCTACATATAAATGCATGGAGTGCTACCTATTTCCATTCTAGATATGTTTCATTCTTCTTTCTTTGTCGAGTTTTGTTTGTAGGGTGTCCAGCCTCTTCTGGATGGAGTTATTAGATACCTGCCTTGTCCAACTGAAGTTGAAAACTATGCACTTGACCAAACAAAGAATGAAGAAAAGGTACCTCGGACTACAGATTACTGTCAAATTCTTCTTCATATTTTTGTCATTATGTTCTAAAAGATGTGGGAGTCACTCCTCTAGGTTCTGTTATCTGGATCTCCAGCTGGACCTCTTGTTGCTTTGGCTTTCAAGTTGGAAGAAGGGCGTTTTGGCCAGTTGACTTATTTAAGGTTCTATTTTCTGCAATTTAACTTCTTGTAACTTTACTTTGCGTTCTCTTTTATCATGTTAAATTATATTTTCTGCTTGAAGACAATGCTAATTTTCTCTCCCTTTCTGAAGAATATATGAAGGTATCATTCGGAAAGGTGACTTCATAATCAACGTAAATACAGGGAAGAAGATCAAAGTAAGAATATAACTTCTTTCTTGTGCCCTCGGCATTTACATAAATGATTTCTTCTCGTCATGAATTTCCAATTTTAACAGCCAAATCGGCACTAATAACTGGAGTAGAAAAATTGACCCCCGTGGAAACGAACTGAGAAGGCAAGGCATTATCCTGGTTCAAATGTATGACTGAATGAGATTCTTTTAAGTGTTGAGAGGATCTTTGTTATCAGGTCTTGGAAAAATTCAACAACAATCAGTCACGATTCTTGTACCTACGGTTCTTGGAGATCAAACTTTATGGCTCTTTTGCATGGCTTCAGTTTTTCCGAAAATATTTATAGATTTCATTCAACCTTTCCCAGCATCGCATGTCGTGAGGTTCTAGATAGCCTGGTTTCTTTAGGCATGGTAATTTGCATCCTTTTCCACGAGGGATAGATGAGTGAATTCATGGTATCACCACTAATTATTATTCGCGAATTTATCTTGCTGAAGTCGAAGTTTTCATAAAGTTTTTCTGGCAGGATACTATTGTTTTTTTAAAAAATGATTTCTTGTTCAGGTTTTCAGAATCATTTTCTCTTTGAGGGATGATTCACAAGTCATTGATAATCCCCTGCATTCATCTTTGGTTGGGTACGGAAATCTTAGGTTTCTTCTATGACAAAATACCAGACGATTTGCACAGGTGCTAATATCAGTCTTTTTCTCACTCATTTATACACATAAAGTTAGTGTAAAATAGACAGATTCTCACTCAATAAATACAAATAGTAGAATCTACTTGGGTTTACTAGGTTTTGTAGGGGAATCAATCAGGATTAGGCCTAACATGTGGGGGTGAAATATGTATTATACTGTTCCTGTCTGCAAGTTATGACCCTGATTTGTTGTTACATCCTCCTTTGTAGTTTTTCTTATTTGTATGCTGCTTATTATTCGAACTTTGTTCATCCTCTGCAACTTCTGTGAACCCTTGTTTCAAACCTCTGGAAACCCGTAACCATTCATGACTTTAGCGCTTGTATTCAAATATTGTACTTCTGTACAATTATGCTGATGAGTTTTTTTGCCTTTTTCATGCACTGTCCACAGTATCTTTTTTATTTTCATCATTGGGGGTCACATGCTTAGGATGCAACTTTATGATTTTTTTTTTCTAAATACTATTATTTGCTTCATCCTCGTAAAATGCTTAGTTAAGATCATGCATAATAAGCGTAATTTATTGACATAACCTGATGGTTATATCTGCTTTTATCTTCGAAATTAGTTCTTGTTCCCTGAGATATCAATTATGGTTATTCTCCTGCTTAAGCTTGTTTTTGATTGTTGAACGTTTTGATATTGAGTACTACATACGTTTTCATCAAGTTTTTGGGGACAGAAGATCAAGTCTTTTGTTTAATACGTAAGGAAGGTTATTTTAATGCGCTTACTGGATTCTTATACTTCAAATTTCAGGTTCCCCGTCTAGTTCGAATGCATTCTGATGAGATGGAGGTTAGAATGCATAGTAGCATCCTTAGAAACTCTCCTCCGTTTCTATTATATCCTTTTTTTACATTTAAGTTCACTGTTTAATTTACTTTGTGTTGTGTTAGAGTATTCAATATTACGTTTTTATGATAATTTGAAATGCCCACACCACAGGACATTCAAGAGGCTTATGCAGGACAAATTGTTGCAGTGTTTGGGGTAGATTGTGCATCAGGTGATTTCTTCTCAGGCATTTTTTGCTGAAGAGATTTGTCTTCCATGGTTATAACTTGTTCTTTCTTTACTGCATTTTTAAGTCTGTATTAAATATGAATTGGCAGGCGATACCTTCACTGATGGGTCTGTCAAATACACTATGACATCTATGAATGTTCCTGAGCCAGTGATGTCTTTGGCTGTTTCACCCGTGTCTAAAGACTCTGGGGGACAAGTAAATTGTCAAGTCATCCAAATTTTCATGGCTGTTTATTGTGCAGAGTAATGCAACTAACTGTCATTCCTGTTCCATATCTCAGTTTTCAAAAGCTTTGAACCGCTTTCAGAAAGAGGACCCAACATTCCGAGTTGGCTTGGATGCTGAGAGTGGACAGGTATTCGATTTTTCAGTAAGTCTATTGTATTTTGTACCAGTGAAGAGCAATGCCTTAATATATTAATTTACAGACGATAATTTCGGGAATGGGAGAGTTGCATTTGGACATTTACGTCGAACGCATTCGCAGGGAATATAAGGTAGAGAGGTTTTCTTGTTTGATCCGATTAAAATTACTGAAATGGAGGCCTTATCTAAATGTCAGTATTTCCTAGGTTGATGCAGCTGTTGGAAAACCTCGTGTGAACTTTAGAGAGACGGTTACTCAACGTGCTGACTTTGATTATTTACATAAGAAACAGTCTGGTGGTCAAGGTCAATATGGTAGAGTTACGGGGTATGTATAAGTGGATTTCAAACCTTAGTCTTTTTTAAAGAAATGTATTTATTATCAGTTTGAGAATAAACATTATGATTATTTTTTTCGAACAATTGAATTCGGGATTGGATCTCCCATTTGGTTATTAGTAAAATCTGTGGACATAATCTCCTTTGCATCTAACTAATATTTGCTCCTTTGAAAATAAAGTTTATCTCATGATATTTGCTCCAGCGAAAGAGACTGTACAATTTCCCTTGAAATATATGGTGGATATTGTTTGATATCAAATTTTAATTTCTTTTTGCTAATTGCCTCGTGCAGATGATTAGATGCATCAACTGGATTTGATTTTATTTTTTTTCACTATTTCGTTTCAACGGGAACTTTGTTCTGCCTGAATCAAAACCCATAATTTCTGAGTTTTTTTTCTCCTTTTCTTAGAATTTCTGAGAGATGTTCAGATTAACGAGCTTTGTATATCTTCACGGTTGTATAATGAGACTTAAGTTCTGTGCTAGGTATTACAGTATGATGCTTTAATTGCAAAGACCATTGTAAGTAGCCAAGAGTCTCAATTCACTTGGTAATTTTTTTGGTTCTTAATCGAGCTGATGGGGAGGAAATTGAAGCTCTCTCCCAAATTGATGAGTAGACAAAGCGCATCACTGCTATGCTTGAGTACCTGTGACAAATATCACTATCAACTCTCATACTTAGGTGGGGTTTCTAGATGCCTCCCATTATGGCTTTAACGTCTATTTGGACTCGACCTTTGGCCAAACAGACCTTTAACTTCCAGCAAGATATCAGCTGCTTATCACGCTTGAGCTTGTCAAAGGAGTTGGCCTAGATTGCTGTCCTGGAGAGTTCTACTTTGCATTTACACATTAAGTCAAGGTAGAGGAGGCATACATTCATGAAGAAATTCGTGGCTTGGCATAAGAAGTTTGAGTCTGAACTGTAGAATAATCTTGAGCAAGAACCACAAGGGCTTAGTGCTCCACCATGGTACGGTTAGGTCCCTAACAGGCCTTATGCTAGGAGTAAGAAGGTCTGTGGGTCACATGAGGGTTAAGTAGAAGGTAATTAGGTAAAAGACAAAAGGGAGAGCGGGGGTATTAGGGATTGTTTGGTGGCAGGTGGTGTAGCCTGTCTCGACTCTGGTCTGTGGCAGAGTTCAAATGGGATTTTAAGATCATGTTGGCTTCTATGGATACGGGAATGGAACCTGTGTCTTTGACATGAAAAGATGATGTCCTAGCCACTGGATGAAAGGGACAAAAAAAATTCTTCGCAAGTGCCTGCTCCGCTCCGAGAATAGAAATGGTTCGCTTTGTTTCTATACGAAATTCGACGATGACTTATTAGAAGTACTGGAGAGCACCTTCCTCAAAGGATCAGAACCAGAGATCAGAGTAGAAGTTAGACTCCATAAACCATCCGACTGAGATCAATCATGAAGACATCACGATGAGTGGAAGAGAAGAATAGAACAATTAGGTTCGTTAGAGACCTCAATGACCCAGAACCATTTAGACCCAACTTCTGTGGAGTCAAGCACGTTCATGGGTTGTGGAAAACATAGGAATTTAGATCAAATTCTGAGCAGGACCCTTAAATTCGGAAAGGCCACCGAACCGCTACTGGATACAGCTACAAAATGGAGTTCGCAATCACCTGCTATGGGAGTTAGCCAACCCAACAATCGCAGTGAGGGAGTCAAGCAATGGTTAAATTTTACTGAGGCAGAGATAAAGCAAAAAGGGCCAAAGGATTATGGTTCTCCTTTGATGAAAAGTACGGGACCAATACACTTGTAAAAGAGACCTGCAAAGTTCTCTTGGTGCACGAAGATGATTGAGAGACTGGACTAAACTTAGAAGCAGAAACAGCAGAAGAATCGAACTGGGTGGAATACCAGAAGGTCGGAAGTGTTGATCTAAGGGGATGACTCAGTAATCTTTGAAGTCATCTGGGAGTCTGCAGCCACAATACAACAACAATTTATTGGATTCCACCTTGATGACAAGAGAGATCTCGTATGGGGGGAGTAATGTTAGGATCTTGATGGGCCTTACTTATGCCAGTAGTAAGAGGGCGTGTGGGTTATGTGAGGGCTAAGTAAGGGGGGTAATTAAGTAATGACATGCAAGGAAGAAGGGGGTTATAAGGGTTGGTTACGGGAAGAAAAGACGGGGATTGTTTGGTGGTAGGCAATGGCTTGTGGGAGAGAGTTGGTCCTCCACCATTGATATCTAACATAATATGTGAAAGAGTCCTGGAATAATGACGTGGTTTTCTTAAATATTTTCGGGAAATTATGGTTCGATGTACTAGTTTTCCTTCGAAATTCTTCACTGGTGAAAGGTTGATTTTGAACAGAAGAATGACTCACAGAGAAAATGAAGTGTTGATTCACTTTCAACTAGTTAATACTGATGTAGAAATCTACTTAAATTTGGATTCTCATTTGAAAACCATAGCTAGATTTCTTCAGTGTTATTAGATTTCTTCACTGGACGACGTGCATGTCAATCCAAGTGGTGACGAGGTCAGATTCTAAAAGTAGAACGACCCAGATAGAGGGGGAATCAAAGCAGAAGAAATGAGATGTGGCTACAAGAGAGGACATACGGATGCCACAACAAGAAATCAGTGAACAAAGAAGGAAAGTCTTGTCTGACAGCACCATTCCTTTGAAACAGGACAGTTCGACAGACTATTGGAGAGGAGGCCGAGGTCAGCTACTGACATTTGGAGGAAGTAATCCGGAAGGATGGATCAGCACTTGTTTGCCGTGCATCATATGGCATAAGCAGAGAAAATGATGGCTGCGGGAATGAGTTTCAAAGAAAAAGCTCTAGTCTGGGCGGACACCAAAAATCTTTTCGTCCAATGGTGGTACCTAAAGCAACAGTTATTGGAGTATTTCAGTCCATCCCAAGTAGGAAGCCTGTGCAAGCATTTCCTTGACAATAAGCAACAGGGATTGATTCTGGAGTATTGACGAGACTTTGAATTAATGTTATACTTGATGGAAGGGCTGAACAAAGAAATGTTGGACTGCACAGTTATAAAAGAGCTGAAGCATGAGATCAGGACGGAGGTCAAATTCCATGATTCTACTGGGATGGAGTCACTCATGAGGGTAGTGCAGCTAGCGAGAGGGATAATGCACTATGGCCATCAAGGGACCCAACCGGTCTAAGATTGTCAAAACTTAACTTATATGGCGGAGACACTGCAACGACAGTTCTCGAAGTTCCACCTTGAGGAAAAAGTGTCTCCTGCAGGGAGGGAGTAATGATAGGCCCTTAGTGGGCCTAGTGTACTCCAGACAGAAGGGGACCCAAAAGGGCCCAACAAAGGAACCCAACAACCCCTTCTCGTGAAGACTTTACTATATGGTCTTTTCCTAAAGAAGGGAAAAGGATACTTGGCTTGGGATCGGGCGATGGTTGGGGGGCATTGAGGGCTTTGAGAAGTCTAGAGGCAGCAGAGAGTCATGGTTCTCTCAAACGACCACCCCATCGCCAAGGGTTCCTCCGAGCCCTAAATTTTGTGTTCTATTTTGCCAACCTTCTATTTCAGTGCATCTTTATTTTCTATTCCGTATTTTTGCTATTTGCTGGAGGTTCCAGATCGAGGGTTCTATCAGATTGCCTTCCATTATCTCTTTGCGTGGATCAAGATCTGCTTCATTTGTTTCTTTATTGAACGCAAAGCATGCTTATTTGGTTGTACCAGATACATCGAACCACTTCCAGCAGGATCGCCGACAAAATTTGAGTTTGAAAACATGCTTGTTGGGCAAGCAATTCCGTCAAATTTCATCCCAGCCATTGAGAAGGGTTTCAAAGAAGCAGCCAACTCGTGAGTGCAATGGGTTGTCATGACAAGCTTAGATGTTTTGAACTTTTCTGTCTATCATATGAAAACCATTTCTTTGCAGGGGTTCGCTGATAGGGCACCCTGTTGAAAATATACGGGTCGTATTGACTGATGGGGCTTCACATGCTGTTGATTCCAGCGAGCTTGCATTCAAGCTTGCATCGATCTATGCGTTTAGACAGGTTGACTGAATTCTCCCAGATTTCTAGTACTTAAACTTGCGTCCTTTCATTTTTAGATGCTCTTAATGGAGATACATATACGCATATTGAGTGAGTAAGAATGGTTATTATTAGGGGCCTTCTCATTTGTGGGTTGTGCCAATTCTGGTCTTGTGTCTAGCCCAGCCCGTCAACGCCTCTACTAGTTATATATCTTGTCGTCCTGTTTTGTCTTTCTACTTCTCTTTCACAGAGACTAACGCTAACTCTCTTGTCCAGTGCTACTCTATGGCGAAGCCTGTCATATTGGAGCCCGTCATGCTGGTGGAGTTGAAAGTGCCCACCGAATTCCAGGGTTCTGTTACTGGTGATATCAATAAGTGCGTCAATTTTACGACTTTCCACTCGGTGATATTCTTTTTTGCTTTAGAGGTTGGCCTAATGAACTATGCATTTATATGCCTTATAGGAGAAAAGGTTTAATACTTGGGAACGACCAGGATGGAGATGACACAGTCATCACTGCAAATGTAGGTGCATAGATAGTTCTTCCTTTTCTGTATTACCGTTTTTAAACTGCCAATTTCTTCTGGTTAAGGCTCTTACCTTGCTGTCATGCTCCATCTTTGTCACTCCAGAGTCCAAAAAGGAACGGGTCATGAGAATGGCAGGCCTTCATGCCTTGCCTTGGCCCTACTGTTACCTATCCATCCATTCATAGGCACTTACCAACATATTCATGTCGGTGATGTCTTTCTGACAAATAAGACTTTCCACTCAGGCTTATATAAGACTGAGGGGAATGGAAAAGGCCCTGATCAATAGGCTCTGGGCCAGATTCATATGAAGACTGAGCATGATGGAGTGACAGTCCATTGGGAAGGGAGGGGGTCCGGCCTGTGAGTTGAGAGAGGTGACAGAGGATATGGGAGGAAAACTTAGACCCCACCTAGTAAACACTAGGCCAAGCTGATCCCATCATGCTCCCTAGCTTTCCCAGCTCGTTCAATTCCTTCATTTAGATTTACTTGCATAAATTTGAGGCTAGATTTCTGAGTTTTGCTCGATTATGAATCTCCCAGGTTCCCCTGAACAACATGTTTGGGTACTCAACGGCTCTTCGGTCCATGACGCAGGTAAAAGAAATCACTTCATCTGCATCATCGTCTCTTTCCATCTTCTCGACTTGCAGGGTCTGACACTATTTTTGGTTGTTGGGTGATTCAAATCGTCAGGGGAAGGGGGAGTTCACGATGGAATACAAGGAGCACCTGCCCGTCTCCCAGGATGTACAGATGCAGCTAGTTAACTCATACAAGGCCACTAGAGGTGGGGATTAGATTGGCTCCTCAGTCAGGTCTTCTCCTTCTTTTTGTTTCTTTCCTCTTTTTGTCCCAATTATTGAAGTTCTTTAGACACCCTCACACACCAAATGTGTAAGGTAAAGGCAGCTTATTTATTCTTGGTCATGTAATAAACTGAGGGCATGCATATACGAGGGGTCAGTGGAAGGCCAGCGGTTTCTTCTTTCCCTTGTGAAGGCCTTTCGATGTTGCCTGAAGAAAAACCAGGAAATGAACTTCGATGTGGATTCCCATGGGACGTAAACAACTGTCTGTTGGGATGGTATTCACTAATATTGTTATTGGAAAGGCCACCAAATGCGTATGAATTTCCCAAGCTTTTAGTGCAGGCCTGCCACAATGGTAAAAAAGCCCTTTTGTGCATGCTGTGGTGACATTACTTCAATTGGACGTCTCATTTCCTTTGTGAGTAGTCAATGATATGTTGGCTCTCATCTTCCTCTCCATGAACTCATCTACCCCTTAAGAACATGGCCTCTCTTATTGTGGCCCATTTAAGGTTTGTATCGATTGGAGTAGAAGCACAAAGATCCTAAAAATCTATGTAAGTTGGAGTTAGCTTGATTATGAAATTAGGCTCATAAAAAGGCATATTTTAAGACAACTATATTTAGATTTATCTTTTCATATTTTGTTTCCCTCTTATTTTAATGTCTTGCTGTTTTTATCTTCCTCTTATTTTTAGATCTTTTTTTTTTATCCTCTCTATTTTATACTATTATTTTTATTTCCCCATTTATTCTTATTCTTATTTTTATTATTTTTCTGTTTTTATTTCCAATTTCATTTGAAATTCAAATTTAAGCATCAAATTAAAAAACTTCTGCCTATTTTAAGGCACCCCATGTAACATAAGAGATTTTAGTTTGAATCAATAAATTTTGTGAGTTCATTTCTTTTAGAGTAACTTGTCTAGTGGACTTTATCACCCCTAAGAAGTCAAACATTGATTACTTCAAACCCTTTGATTGCAAGTGCTTTGTTTTAAATAATAGGAGAGGATAATTAAGAAAGTTTGATCAAAAGAGTGGTGAAAGAATCTTCTTGGATTAATCTGAAAAATAAAAATATATTAAATCTATAATAATAGAATATTGGTTGTTGAAATTAACAAGCCACTAGATGTGATTGGTAATAAGAATTGAGAGTGAAGAAATTCTGCATTTAGATCTTAATCTTGAGATGACTTTCCCTAGGAGTCAGAAATGGAAAAAGGGTCATCCAAAAGAAAATATCTTAGGTGACTTAAATGATAAGATTTGAACAAGATCAGTTCTTATAGAAAATATCCACATGACATTTACTTCACAAATAGAACCTAAAAAATGTGGATGTTGTAGTTCTTGATGTAGAATGGGTAAATGCAATAGATGAGGAGTTAGAAAATTTTAAATGAAATAATATTTGGTACCTAGTTTCAAGAACTAATCATCAAAAGGTGATTAGCACGAAATAAGACTTTAAAATAATATAAATGTGTAAAGATTAGCTTTGAAAGCAAGGCAACACTAATAGATCAAGGTTATGTTTAAGAAGAAACAATTAGTTATGAAGAAACATATACACCAATAGCTAGGCTTGAAATAATTATATTCTTATGCTTAAATGTGTAGATAATTTTAGGTTTTATCATTTGAATGTCAAAAGTGTATTTTTGAATTAGCTAATTAAAGAAGAATTATATGTGGAGTAGCCCATGATTTAGGATTTAAATTATAGGATATAGCGTTCATTCACACTTGATTAACAATTAGAAATCCTTGGTATGTAAATCACACATCTATATCATCTTAGATTTATGTGAACTTGTAACATCTATTTTTCTTGAAATAAACATAGATCTGAATGGCCAAGAATCAGATATAATATGTTATTAAACAACTCAGATATTCTTATGTGAAAACAACACTTTATCTCATTAAGGCATAAGGTTCATGTCTAATTTGCATCAATTTAAATTAATTCCTTAATAATCGAATAATGTGAACACACCGAATAACATGTCACATTTAAGCAGTAATTTAATAATCAAACTAACGCCAATTGCTTCAAATAAAATATGGTCATCAAGAAGATTATAATCATAGATTTTGGTAATTCATAATATTTTAATTTTTTTTTCAAAGTATACTCATTGATATTCATAAAATCATGTTTGACATAATCAAAAATTAAAATTTGGTTAATTAGTTCAATATCAAAATTATTTGAGAGTTGATGTAGCCTAGAAATTATTTTCAGATGAGGGATTGAAAACTTTTGACTAGGTGACAAAAAAATAATATTTAGAGGCATTAAAGTGCCTCAATTTAATTTTATGATTATCTTTAACACAAATACTTCCATATCAGCTCAGATCAAGCAAATGACATAGTCCACTTTCAACCCAATTCAACTGAACTAGAGGCACATGAGGTGTGAAGACTATGTTTGGCCCAAATTCAACTTGAAATGGTTCAATAAGAAATTTGGGTACACGTTAAATATGTCAAAATCTCAATTCCCACATTCATTTTTTTCTATATGTTTTATGTGAAATAATCTCTCTATTCTATTTAAGGCATTCCTATTCCTTAGGGGCTTTATAAAATAATCCTTTTGCTTCTTAGAACATTGTAATAGAACCCCCTCCTTTCTATGTTAATTATAACAAGATTTTTGCCTACAACAAAGCCTCATTTGTAGTCCTATAGTCATCCAAGTTTATTTATATCAATCGTAAAAAAAAATATTCTTTTGAAATTATATTGCTATATTAGTGGATTTTAGCATCCTCTGTGAATTTAGGTAATTATTTTGATCATGTGGACAAGATCAAATCTTTGTAGAGTAAAGGGGTCAATATTTCTTCTTCTTGTGGACTTGGGATGAAAGATATTCATAGAAATAATATTTTATGTAGAATCAAGGACAAGATTTCAACATTCTACAACTCATGTTATGCCAACTTGCCCAAACTATCATCAAGTTAATATTTTTACTACATCAATTTTCCTCTTTGGAGATTTTATTTATCTATTAGTGGATTTCAACATCCTCTATGGATTTAGGAGAACTATTTTTATCATGTAGATTTAGGATCTAGTCTTTGTGGAGTCAAAGGTTGAGGTTTGTTCATTCCATGAACTCAAGGTAAAGCACAAAAATCAAGCATGTGATGAACTGAATGATGAGATTTTAACTATGTGCTACTTAGGTTGCACTAACCTACTCAAATCATCATTAAATCTTTTAGTTTGACCTGCATCAATTGGTACCAGAACATGTATGAAGGTTTGTATAACATCAGAAAGATTTTGTGATCCTTTAGGATTTAAAGATTACCTAGATCAATTCTTCTAGAATTAAGGATTGAGGGAAATTCAAATGTTGCGAATTCAAGGTTTAATCATCATTATTAATGAACTCTATTTGGTGCTTTCACATTTTTGACAATTTTTTAGCATTCTACTTTTTAGTCTCATAGTGGTATATAGAGGAATCCTATTTCTCATAATCTAATTCATTCAGCATCTGGCTTGTCTATTTCAGAATTTCAATTGAACTTGAATTATTGAAACTTTGTTGGGAAATATTATAGTAGCCCCATCAATATAAATTTTTTTTTGAACCAAAAATCATTTTCATATATTGGTTTTAAATATAGATTTACATGAGGAAGATGATTAATCTAAATGTAATAATTTTTAAAAAATATTTATTATTTACAAATAAATTGATGTTATTATTAATAATAATATTAGTGCTAATTATAATTCACCATATATGATTTATAAAATTAGGTTGAAAGTAAAAAATATCATGATCTGTAAAAATAAGGTTTGGATAACAATTGTTTTGGAAGTAGATGTTACAGAAGCTTATTTAGTGAAAGGTTTTATAATGTAATATATTTTGATAAGATTGAATGTGAAGAAATTGATATGGATTCTTGTCATATGCTGTTAGCAGGGTCTTGACAATTTCATTTAAATGTAAATATAATTTTGGAAGAAATCAATATGCATTTTAAAAAATGGTTGAAAGTTGATATTTTGCTCGCTCAAAAGTTTTTCAGAAACAAGGAAGAAAGGAGAAGAGAAATATACAGAAAATCAAAGTAGAATAGATTAGAAAAGTTTGAACTGAAAAGTAGAAAAACTTCTTCCAAAGAAAATTATTGATAACATTATTTACACTATGGATGTCACAATTTAAGTAGGGTCAATAATATCTTAAGTTCATATTTGAGCATATTGACTATGGTCATAACTGAATTATGTTGAATAATTCAGATAGCAACAGAAAATAATTTTTTTTGTATCACATCAATAGAACTAAGGTATTAAATGTATGAAAGAATAGATATCATCAAGAGAACTAAATTAGAAAAATAGGAAAAAGAGGTTATACCTCGAAATGTATGAAAGAAGTATATGTTTTTTATGATTTATAGGTTAAGTTATTTCTCTAACATTTATGTAAAAAGGGGTTATGAGAAATTTCAGCTCCATGTATTTGAGAAGTCAACAAATTAATGTCACCTAGGTAGAACTTCAACACAATATGTAAATATTTTTGATTTGATCAATTTACACTTCGAAATAGATAAGATTGCAGATGATGACTATTATATGAATTTAAAATCAAATTTTCAAAGATTACATAGGTCAAATGTAGAAAGTATGTGTAATGATGAGTTTTCTTTAAGCAATTGAAACTAGTCTAGCCCAATAAAACCTATCAAAAGAAGGATGAAAGGTCTTTTCCTTAGGTGGAGAAAATTAACCTGCTATGCATTCTTGGAGCTGAAAAGATATTAGTTCCATGCTCAAATCATGTACAACCACAATTTCAGTCCAATTCAAGTAAACTATAAGCCTAGGATGTGTGAAGAGACAATTCTACCCCAAATTTAGTTCTATATGACCCAATAAGAGATTTGGACACTTGTTAAATGTGTCAAAATCCTAGTTCTTTTGTTTTGTCTTTGTAAA